AAAGGGGAGTATATATTAGTTCAGGCAGAACTGCTCTGTGTTGCAAACAACAACCAGCATTATCTGTGTTCCTGGACCTTGTTGATGTTAACTGGTATCTAGATTTCTGACCTGTTTGTTGGATATTCTTTTGGACACCCCCACTTGACTTGGCCCTTTGGACAGGCACTAACCATACGGCCTTGACTCCTGGACTGAAACCGACAATTCCTAATTAGGTGATGCAGAGACTGGGCTTTTGTGTGCTCTGCGCAGGACAACCCCTGTTCTAAAACGTTCTAGCACTTAGCTCTTCATAGCACTGCAGTCTTGAACAAGTTGCATTGGAACGCAATCCCAATGAAGTAAGTGACTGCGTTTCCACAAATGGTGGCCACATTCAATGTTCAAGCTAGGATGAGCAGTAATCATGAGCTGTGCAAACTTAATGAGGAAGCATTATGCAAGAATTAAACAACCCTCATCCAACCCATATGCTATTTTAGGTCTAATAAGACTTGTTTTTCATTGAATCATAGAGTTGTTTTTGTTGTTGTTGTTTGTTTTTTCAATTCTAGAGTTAGAAGGCCATCAGATCCAACCCCCTGCTGTTGCAGGATACCACTTTACCCCATCCAACTCAGATGGCTGTCCAGTTTCTTTTTTAATGTCTCTAGTGTGGGAGAGCCCACCACCTCTATAGGCAACTGCTTCCACTGCCCTATTGCTCTGACAGTGAGGAAACTTGTCCTACACTCTGATATCAGCAAGAAGAGACCTTGACTTTCCTCTTTGCAGCACCTTTGAGGTACTTATAGAGGGATATCACGTCCCCCCTCAGTCTTCTCTTCTCAAGGCTGAAAATGCCCAGTTCCCTCAGTCTCTTTTCATAGGGCAGCATTTCCAAACCCTGGATCATTTTTCTTGCCCTCCTCTGAACCCTTTCTAGTTTTTCTGCATCTTTCTTAAATCGTGGTCCCAAGAGCTGGACACGGTCTTCCAGATGATGTCTGACTAGTGAGGAGTATAGAGGAACTACTACTTCTTGTGATTTGGAAGTAATACTTCTGTTCTTGCATCCCAAAATAGCATTTACCCTTTTGGCAGCTACATCGCATTGTTGGCTCATATTTAGCCCATTGTCTGCAATAACTCTGAGGTTTTTTTCTTTTTTGAGCTACATATTCCCCATCTTACACGAGCAAACCTTCCTTAGGGTTACATGTAGCAGGCTAGGGCATCTTAGCTAAACCATTCCAACTTTCAGAGGTGTTAGGCAAGGGTGTTTGTTAGGACCTGCATTATTCATCTTTTATATAAATAATATAGTCAGCTGGCTAAACTCATCTGCACTTTATCCTCCCAGACTTGCTAACAGGGTGGTATCAGTCCTATTACATGCCAATGACACAGTGCTACCTTCTGTTGGACTGAGGAGGGCTCTGGGGAAACTCTCCTGATAGTTAATTTTGAGGGACTCATTTTCACACTATCAGAAAACCAAGATGGTTGCTTTTGGGTGCAGGCCAAAGATTTGGTCATGGTCGATAAATGGCCACTCTATTCAACAAACTAATAGCTTTAGATATCTGGGAGTAGTTCTGCAGACCTTGGGCTCCAGGTTCCATTACAGCAATTATGCTGCAGACAAAGGAGAAAGATCTGCAAACAGTATTGCAAATTTTCATCTAGCACAAGGAGTGGTTTTTTGTCCCTGCAGCTCTGAAACTTTATAAGGAAAAGACACTGGCCCAATTGCTTTATGGTTCCTTGTTGTGGCGAAGGGGCTTGTGTAGCTCAATGAAGCTATGAGCTATGCCGTGCAGGGCCACCCAAGATGGACAGGTCATAGCAGAGAGCTCTGACAAAACGTGATCCGCTGGAGAAGGAAATGGCAACCCACTCCAGTATCCTTGCCATGAAAATCCCATGGACAGTACCAAAAGGCAAAAAGATACGATGCCGGAAGATGAGCCCCTCAGGTCGGAAGGTGTCCAATGTGCTACTGGGAAAGAGCAGAGAGCTAGTACTAGTAGTGACAGAAAGAATGAAGCGACTGGGTCAATGCCGAAAGGACACTCAGTTGCAGATGTAACTGGTGGTGAAAGGAGAGTCCGACGCTGCAAAGATCTATACTCCATAGGAACCTGGAATGTAAGATCTATGAATCAAGGCAAGCTTGATGTGATCAAACATGAGATGACAAGACTGAGCATCGACATCTTAGGAATCAGTGAACTAAAATGGACCGGAATGGGTGAATTTAAGTCAGATGACCATCAGGTATACTACTGTGGGCAAGAATCCCTCAGAAGAAATGGAGTAGCCTTCATAGTCAATAAAAGAGTAGGAAAACCAATACTGGGATACAATCTCCAAAATGACAGAATGATCTCAGTTCAAATCCAAGGAAAAGTGTTTTGCAAGTGTTTTGAAAGATGAGCAAAAAGTTTTTCTAAATTTTAACTTGATAAACGAGCGATGTCTTGCGGTACGAGTATTACACGTGCTTTGCCTGCCGAGCGTCACGTCACAACTGAGCACCGGTTCTTCTCACTCTCACTGCGGGTGTGAGTACAGCATTGTCTCCCCGCACCCGAGCACGCCCACGATTGCGCCTGGCTCCCCCGCCAGCGTGTCCGCGATCAGACCCACCTCCCCCCTGCGAATGCACTCGCTTCAAATTTTTGTGATTAAAAAAAAAGTTAGAAAACGGATTACCCTTATTTACACTGAACTTTATGGGCAAATTCGCTTTGATATGCAAGTGCTTTGTATATGTACAAGCATGTTTCCAGAAAGAATTATGCTCACAATCCAAGGTTTTACTGTATATGAAACTGCTGGGAGTGGTCATCTGGAGGTTTGGGCTGCAGAGTCATCAGTACGCTAATGACACCCAGCTCTACCTCTCTTTTACATCTAATCCAGGTGAAGCAGTGTTGGTCCTAAATTGGTGTCTTGCCAGGGCATTGGGCTAGATGAGGGCCAATAAATTGAGGCCTAATCCAGACAAGATGAAGGTCCTATTGGTAGGTGGTTCAGCCTTCCAGATGGGTAATTTTTGTCCTGTTCTGGACAGGGTTGCACTCCCCCTAAAGGACAGGGTACGCAGCGTGGGGGTGCTCTTCAATGCAGAACTGTCACTGGAGCACCACGTGCAGGCAGTGGCCGAGGAACGCTTTCCTTCAGCTTCAGCTGGTAAATCAGCTGTGTCCTTACCTAGATGAGCAGTGCCCTGGAACAATGACCCAGCCCTCCTGTTTAGTCTATTGCAATGCACTCTACGTGGGACTGCCCTTGAAGATGGTCTGGATACATCAATTGGTCCAGAATAGAGCTGCCAGGTTATTAACAGGGACCAGCAGATATTCCCATATCATGTCAATCCTATATTGTTTATTTGTTGTTGTTAGTCGTGAAGTCATGTCCAACCCATCGCGACCCCATGGAGAACATTCCTCTAGGCCTTCCTGTCCTCCACCATCCCCTGGAGTACGCCTAAGCTCACGCCGACTGCTTCAGTGACTCCATCTAGCCACCTCATTCTCTGCCACCCCTTTCTTTTTTTGCCTTCAATTGCTCCCAGCATTAGGCTCTTCTCCAGTGAGTCCTTCCTTCTCATTAGGTGGCCAAAGTATTTGAGTTTCACCTTCAGGATCTGGCCTTCTAAAGAGCAGTCTGGGTTGATCTCCTTTAGGACTGACTGGTTTGATCACCTTGCGATCCAAGGGACTCTCAGGAGTCTCCTCCAGCACCACAATTCAAAGGCCACAATTCTTCAGCGCTCAGCCTTCGTTATGGTCCAGCTTTCACAGCCATACATTACAACTGGGAAAACCATAGCCTTGACTATATGCACTTTTGTCAGCAGAGTGATGTCTCTGCTTTTTAGTATGCTGTCTAGATTTGCCATAGCTTTTCTCCCAAGGAGCAACCATCTTTTAATTTCTTGGCTCCAGTCACTGTAGCCTGGGCTCCAAGGTGATCTTGGAGCCCAGGAAAATAAAATCTGTCACTACCTCCATTTCTCCCCCATCTATTTGCCAGGAAGTGAGAGGACTGGATGCCATGATCTTAGTTTTCTTAATGTTGAGTTTCAAACCAACTTTTGCACTCTCTTCCTTCACCCTCATCAAGAGGCTCTTCATTTTCTGCCATTAGAATGGTATCATCTGCATATCTGAGGCTGTTGATATTTCTTCCAGCAATCTTAATTCTAACTGGTGATTCATCTAGCCCCACCTTTCTCATGATGTGCTCTGCATATAAGTTAAATAGGCAGGGCGACAGTATTCAGCCTTGCTGAACTTCTTTCTCAATTTTGAACCAATCAGTGGTTCCATGTCCAGTTCTCACTGTTGCTTCTTGACCCACATACAGGTTCCTCAAGAGACAAATAAGATGGTCTGGTACTCCCATCTCTCTAAGAACTTGCCACAATTTGTTGTGATCTGATCCTGGCTGCCAGTTGATGTCCGGGCCCAATTTAAGGTGTTGGTAATGTCCTTTACGGCCCTAAACAGCTTGGGTCCTAGATACCTGAAAGAGTGCCTTCTTCCCTATTTGCCTTCCTCCACTTGAGATCTGAGGTAGAGGTCCTTCTCCAGGACCCCTCTTTGAAGGAAATTAAGAGGGTAGCTACTCAGAAAAGGGCGGTAGTGTCCTGACTGTGGAGCATGCTCCCCAGGGAGCTTCGCCTGGCGCTATCACTTTCTTCTTTTCAGTGTCAGGTGAAGACCTTTTTATTTTCCCAATATTTTAACAGTTAATTGATGTTATCCTTGTTTTTATCATCATTTATTGGATGCAGTGTGTTGTGTGTTTTTTTGTTGTATATGGTTGCTTTGCTTTTTTGTTTTTTGTAAGCTGTGTAGAGACTTTTAGTATTGGGATGGCATTTAAAAACCAGACAGACAGACAGACAGGATAGCTGAGCTATATAGAACTTTCAGCAGCTTCAGAAGACTTAGTAACCTGTAATCTTCATGCAATCTTGTTTTCTTTCTGTTTGTTTGTAGGGATTCAGCTACGCCCCTATCAGATGGAAGGTGTAAACTGGCTGACACAGTGCTATGGAACCTGGCATGGCTGTATCCTGGGTGATGAAATGGGTCTTGGGAAGACTTGTCAGGTGTGTCATTCTCTCCTGTAAGAATGTACTGTTTAACCACTGTAGTGGGGAGAGGGATACGGTATTCTATTGCATTTCATGGCATCCAAAATTTTCTCATGTATTTCAGGCTATTTCTCTGCTTGTTTTCTTAAGTGGGAGGCTTAATAAAAGGCCTTTTTTGATCCTTTGCCCTCTGTCTGTCTTAAACAACTGGGAAGAAGAACTGAAAAGGTAAGCTCTGCAAGCATTCATAAATTTCGTGAAGCAACAAGAAATACTGCTGTTTTCAAGGGCTGGTTTTAAAACCAAGATTATCTATTATTACCTGAAGGCTTGAATACTAACATTAAAAATCCAAAATCATATAGTTATGGATGTTTCTATTCAGTGAGACTATGGCTTCCAGGGTATATTTTCATCCTGTTGCATTTTAAGATAAACATTATTGATTGATTCAGACCTGATCATACTTGGAGCAGACTCTCTGAAATCAATGGGAGAAATGGACCACAATTAATTTAAGTCTTATTGAATTTAATGGGTATACTCTAAGAATGATTATGTCTGAGACCAACTTATGGTTTTTAAAAACAGTATTAAGTCAAGGGTGGCCATCCTGTGGTCCTCCAGATGCTGGACTTCTATCACCCCTAGCCAGCATAGGCAGTAATGAAGGCTGATGGAAATTGCCATCTAAGTTCTGGAAAGTTGCTCACCTGGTTTATTCTCCACTGTATATCTGCAGCAGCAGAAATGTAGCAAAGAGAACATTGTTTTTGATCATCAGTTTGCAAGCAATAGATGTGGACAATGTATTTGCCAGAGCAGAGCTCTGCTGTGGAAATGAATTAATTTCATTTTCATATCTCCCAATGACCAAAGCTCTCTGGGCAGTTAACAAAACTTCTAAAAAAAAAAAAAAATCAAAGCACACACCCCACTGAGAAAATCACAGTTGCAATTGAGTCTACATAAGAAATATAACAGCAGTACAGAATAAAATGCAATGTTAAAAAAATGAAGTTACACTGTTAAAATGCTGAGAGAAGATAAAGATCTTCACTTGGTCCTGAAAAGAATACAAACAGCTGGCCCCAAGCTGTTTAGGGCTTTGAATTTTAGTACTACCACTTTGAATTGGGCCTGGGCTTCAACTGGCAGCCAGTGCAGCTGGAAAAGGACTGGCAAAATATGTTCTGATGAACCAGTTGTCCTGTTTTGGATCTGTTGAGATTTCCAGACTATTTTCAAATGCAGCCCTACATACAGTGCATTGCAGTGATCTAAAGGAGAAGTTATCAGAACATGGATAACTGTAGCTAGGCTGTCTCTATCCAGATAAGGTCATAGTTGGTATATCAGCTTAAGCCATTAAAAGGTGCTCATGCCACCAGGTCCAGTTGTGCCCAAGTGAATTTTGAGTACAGGAGCACCCCAAACTCTGAACCTTTTCCTTTAAGGAGAGTGTGTGCTCACCCAGAAGAGGTTGAATATCAACCAACAAGAAGATGAATCACCCACTAAAGCACCTCCATCCATAACTAAAAGCACCTCCATATAACCTGATTGAGTCTCAGTTTGTTGTCCCTCATTCAGTTAATTGCAATGTTCAGACACTGATTCAAAGCAGCAACTGCCTTACTGGGTTTGATAAAAAGAGAGGTAGAGCTGAGTAGCATCTACATATTGGTGGTACCACATCCCATACCTCTAGATAACCTCCCCCAGCAGTATAGGGAATAAAATAGAACCCTTCAGTGCCTCATGGCATAACTGCCATGGTTCAGAACAACAGTCCCCTAGCACTGCCTTCTGGAATCGGCCAGTCAAGTAGAAGGGGAACCGCTGCCATGCAGTGTCTCCTACTCCTAGCTCACCCAGCCAGGATGTCCAGAAGGACACCATGGTCAGTGGTATTAAAAGCCACTGAAGTGTCCAACAGAATCAACAGGGCCAGCCTCGCCCCCGCACCATCTTTCTCCTGGCAAAGGTTATCCCACAGAGCCACCAAGGCAGTTTCCAATCCAAAATCAAGCCTCAAGCCTGATTGAAATGTACTAGATAATCCATTTCATCCGATAGTACTTGAAGCTGTTCAGCCACCACCTGCTCAAGAACCTTGCCAGGGTTGGGGATGTTGGCCACTGGCCTGTAGTTATTAACATCCTCTGGGTCCAGGTTAGAATTTTTCAGGAGTGGCCCAATCACAGCCTCCTGGACCCAGATAGAAAACACTTCCTTATTTGTAGTAAATAGCCATGAGGAGTGAGAGCCAAGTGCACAAGTTATGAGCTGGACATGACCAAGGTCCTTGTCTACATCCTTGGGCCTCCATAGCTAAAGCTCATCCAATAAAAATGGACCAGATGGTGCTCTGGATGCATCTGCTAGTGGAATTATGGTGTTTAATAAAATTGCTTAGATTCATCATTATCTTCCAAGTTTTCTGCAAATTCATCACAACAAGCTACCAAGAGCTCCAAAATTTCTTTCTTTGGCCCAGAATATAATAGGCCATGTACCACCTAGAAAAGTTCCACTGGACAACACTAAGAAGATGCAATGATGGTAGAAAAATACTGCCTCTTTCCCACCTTTACCAGCCCAGAGCAGGCTCAATAATGAGCTCTAACCTATGTTCAGAAATCTGAGAAGGGAGTCTGGAACAACCTGCTACAGTCAAAATATTTGACAACACAACACAGAAATTGGGAAGAAAGTACAGACTGAATGCATAATGAAAGTGAAATTTATATAGGAAGATGATTGTAGGGCAGGGATAAGATATTTTTTTTGAAAAGAGCATGGTTGCCCTCAAAATTAATGCTGGGCTTCATTGCCTTTCACAGTAACCTTTGCAAGATACATAACTTAGATTATCTTTAAACATGCTCTAAAGTGAAGGCAGGTCACCTGTGTTTGATGTCTTATTCAATGTCATTTTTTAAAAAAATTAAAACAGGTTTTCTCCAAGCCTTTCTTTCATGACGTATTCAGGAGGCAAGGAAAAACGGGCTGAGCTACAACAAGACCTGACCTCAAATCATGATTTCCACATTTTGCTGACAAATTATGAGGTACTTTACATTTTCTATAGTAGTGAGCATAGGGTATAATGGGCATTGGAGTTCATACCTAAGTGGACTGCATTGGACTGTTCCCTTGGTTTCATATCTGTACAACTCTTAAGTTCAGTATAAGGGCACATTAGCCTTTGTGTATGCCTGTGAGTACAGAGTGGGTTTTCGATAGCTCTTAAAAGTAGCTAAAAACAGAAACATGTCAGTCTGCAGTTTTATGCTGATGTTTGTATATGTCCCCTTTGTTGTTGTTGTTGTTAGTCACAAAGTCGTGTCTGACCCATCGTGACCCCATGGACAACATTCTTCCAGGCCTTCCTGTCCTCCACCATCCCCCGGAGTCCACTTAAGCTCACGCCGACTGCTTCAGTGACTCCATCTAGCCATCTCATCCTCTGCCATCCCCTTCTTCTTTTGCCATCTGTTGTTCCCAGCATTAGGCTCTTCTCCAGGGAGTCCTTCCTTCTCATTAGGTGGCCAAAGTATTTGAGTTTCATCTTCAGGATCTGGCCTTCTAAAGAGCAGTCAGGGTTGATCTCCTCTAGGACTGACCAGTTTGATCGCCTTGCGGTCCAGGGGACTCGCAGGAGTCTCCTCCAGCACCACAATTCAAAGGATTGAGGCCTTTGAATTGTGGTGCTGGAGGAGACTCCTGCGAGTCCCCTGGACCGCAGGAGTCTCCTCCAGCACCACAATTCAAAGGCCTCAATCCTTTGGCGCTCAACCTTCCTTATAGTCCAGCTTTCACAGCCATACATTGCAACTGGGAAAACCATAGCCTTGACTATACACAGTTTTGTTGGCAGGGTGATGTCTCTGCTTTTTAGTATGCTGTCTAGATTTGCCATAGATTTCCTCCCAAGGAGCAACCATCTTTTAATTTCTTGCAGTCCCCATCTGCAGTGATCTTGGAGCCCAGGAAAATAAAATCTGTCACTACCTCCATTTGTTCCCCATCTATTTGCCAGGAAGTGAGAGGACCAGATGCCATGATCTTAGTTTTCTTAATGTTGAGTTTCAAGCCAACTTTTGCACTCTCCTCCTTCACCCGCATCAAGAGGTATGTCCCCTACGCCCACACAATTAGAGTTGCATGATAGGGAGAATGTGGTAAAGTCCACTGGCTGTGCCCCATCTGTGAAGCCCTTATTGCCTGTCACCATCACCCTCCACATGCTGAAAAGTAAATTTCAGCAGGAAGCCTTTGTTCCTCAAGTGTGCAGCTAGTGCTCATTATTACAGAATCATAGAATTGTAGCACTGGAAGGGGCCAAAAAGGCCATAGGGTTCAACCCCTACTGTTGCAGGTCACCAATTTACACCATCCCACTCAGATGACTGCCCAGTTTCACCTTGAATGTCTCTAGTGTGGGAGAGCCCACCACCTCTCTAGGCAGCTGGCTCCACTGTCCTATTGCTCTGAGTGTGAGAAAACTTTTCCTGATATCTAGTCTAAATCTGGGTTGTTGCAAAATGAGTTGATTGTTCCATCTCCTACACTCTGGTATCAATCTTGATGTTTCTGTTTGTGACAGCTTTGGATGAACGTGCCTCCCCCCCCCCCCCCGGTCTTCTCAAGGCTGAACATACCCAGTTGGGTATACAGGGCTCCTATGATGCGACAGCCAGAACAAGTAGAGAAGGCTTCCTGTTGCAGAATTTCACTTCTAACGTGTGGAGAGCTGGAGGTTATGTTGGCAAGGATGCAGTAGAAAGGGTGGAGTTGAGTCCATGTTCTACTTTTCAGCCAATTTTGGTTTTCCTTTGTTTTTTAACTGAACTTTTAAAATGATGTATAGTGACAAATTTATACCATATGTGAATCAGTTTCCTTACCTACTTTCTGGTCATTGAAGATGGACTTCTGGCAAGGGGCCACGTGCACCTCAAGGATGAGCAGAAGGTCCTTTGGAAATGCTCTAGTGAACTTTGGGAGGTTTAAACTGAGCCAAAGGGGTAGGTTAAGGCCTCCCAAAAACCTGTCCTGATTGGACAAGTGAGGGGAGAGGATCAGAGTTTCAGGGCCACAGTGTTGGCAGTAATGCAGGGACTGGTGGGTCTTCTACAAAGAGGGTTCTACTACCAGGGAAGAAGGGAGGAAGGAGAAGGCCGGGGGACCTGAAGATAGTAGGTCATGGGAAGGTGCTGAGATGCATGTATACTAATGCTAGGAGCATGGGAAACAAGCAGGAAGAGCTTGAGGGTCTCCTAGGAATAGGAGGGTATGACCTGGTTGAGATCACAGAAACATGGTGGGATGAATAGCACAATTGGAATGTAAACACAGAGGAGTATGTCCTATTAAGAAAGAACAGGAAGGAAAAGAAGGGAGGGGGCATAGTGTTATATCTCAGGGAAGGAATGAGATACAGTGAGATAGACAAAGGTACGGATGGGGGCAGGGACCTGATAGTGGGGGTATGCTATTGCCCTCCAAGTCAACTTGAGCCACTGGATGATACCCTGATAGACCAGATTTGAAGGATAACTCAAGGGAAGGATGCAATAATTATGGGAGATTTCATTCTCCCAGATATTAGTTGGGAGACTCACTCGGTGGCAACAGCCTGGTCACGTCACTACCTAGATGCTATAGAGGGAGGGTTTTTCAGGCAGAGGATCCAGGAGGCAATGTGGGTGGGATATCCTTGATTTAGTCTTGACCAGCAGGGAGGAGCTGATAGATGGGGTGCAGATTAGGGGAGCTCTGGATGCAAGTGATCACTCCATCCTGTACTTTATGATCAGGGGAATGGGGATGAGCAGCAGGTCGAGTACTAGAAGCTGGAACTTCATGAGGGTCAATTGAAGGCCAGACTAGGTAAAGTCTCCTGGGAGAGGGTACTGGAAGGCAAGAGAGTTCAGGAGGGGTGGATGGCACTGGAAAGGGAGGTCTTGGAGGTGTAAGCCTTGACGATATCGCTAGTTAGCAAGGTGGGGAGGCCAAGAAGGGCACTGCCATGGATACAAAGAGAGGTGGTAAGAGGGATCGTGCATAAGTTAGATGCAAGAGGACCCTCCGTAGGAAATGGGCAATGGGACAAGTAGACAAAAGGGTATACCGGAAGGAGGAGGCACGTTGCAGAAGGATTCTTCACAAAGCTAAGGCTGATTATGAGCTGAGACTTGCAAAGAATACCAGGAGCAATAAAAAGGGCTCCTACCAACATGTAAATAGCAAGAGTTGCAGACGGGGACTGCAGCCAAGAAATTAAAAGGTGCTTACTCCTTGGCAGGAAAGCTATGGTAAATCTAGACAGCATACTAAAAAGCAGAGATCTCACCCTGCCGACAAAAGTTTGTATAGTCAAGGCTATGGATTTCCCAGTTGTAATGTAGGCTGTGAAAGTTTGGGCCATAAGGAAGGCTGGGCGCCGAAGAATTGAGGCCTTTGAATTGTGCTGGAGGAGACTCCTGTGAGTCCCTTGGACTGCAAGGCGATACCACTGAAAGGGAGGTGGTATGGGTCCTGGGTGCCTGGTTGGGAATGCCTCTCTGGCAAGCCAGAGTGAAAAAAGGCAGTGAGTGAGTGTGGGAGTTCCATGGTTAAGAGCATGGGGCTGGGACTCAGGTGATCTGGGTTCTGGTCCCTGCTCAGCCATGGAGCCATCTTATTGACTTTGGGCCAGTCACAGACTCTCAGCTCAACCTACCTCACAGGGCTGTTGTTGTGGAGATAAGATCCAAAGCGGGAAGAGGAGAATGATATCAGCCACTTTGAGTTGTTGTTTTTTTTTTTTTTAAAGGCAGGGTATAAATCTAGTAAAATAAATAAAGGGAAGCAGCAGGGGAATCCACCGCAGTTCTCAATCAGGTACAGCTGCTCAGTGGATTCTTATCTAGCAACAGCAGCAGGTGACACAATTGACCAGTGCAGCTCTTCTCCCAGCACTGACCAGCTGGGATCTTGAGGCAGGAGGTGCAGGGACACCTCCGACAGTTGCGCCAAATGGCCACAATCAGTGACTCTCTCTGGTTGGCTGCTTGGCAAGAGTAGCAACAGACTGCTGTTGCCAAAAGGCTCTATGGTTCTGGCCTTGGTACTGCACTAAGCTGTGTTTTCCAGTTTGGATAACTCAACAAGCAATTGCAATAACAAGAAACCATAGAAAAGACAGTCAACGCATCACACTAAAAAGCGTGATGATGGGGTTTTGGGTTCAGACAACAGGCCACAGAAGGTAAACAGAAAATATTGCTTGTGCCATTTCAACCTGACCAATGTCTAATATATAAGTGAGTCCATATAAAGGGATAGTAGTCCCAGTTTTACAGATAGGATTATATCTTGTTGTGTGACCTTGCTGGTTAAGGCTGGACCCAAACCCTCTGCACCAGTGGACCATTCCACTACATATGAAGGTGGGTGCTTACACACCTCTAACAATTAAGGTTCACATTACAGTTGAAATAGTTCTGCTTTACTGGTTTAACATTAACATTAACAGCTTCATTTTCAATATATTTTCTTTTATTCTGTGTGACATAGGCTTCATGGGGGACTTACTTTTCACACAGTTCTAATCATAGTTGGGAAATGTCTTCAGAGGCCAGTGGGCTAAATTGAATATATTAGAATTTACCAAATTAAAGCCCAAGAAAAGAGACTGATTGGAGTGGGGGAAAGGTATGCTTATCACCTTTGCAGAACTACAGGCCATGTGGAAAAGCAAGGTACTACCTCTGTGAGCACAAAGCACTACTGTTCAGGGTGGTGGATTTCCAGCCTATGAATGACATCAAAAGATGTGAATTCTGAGCCTATGGAAAGTAGAGTATAATTTCTTTTAGAACTTGCTTTTGCCATTCTTAGTAAAAGGCCTTCCTTTTAAAAAGAAAGGGAATGTTGCTTTTTGGGAATGTTGCTATTTACTTAATTGTAAATAGTGTGAATGTATATTATAGAATAATGTTGCACCTGTAAATGTAAAGGGTGGGGGAGCAGTATGGGTACAAAGGCCAAAGTCCCAGTTTAAGACATTACACCTTGATTTGTTCATAGGCCTGAACATAATGCTAAAGCTCAAGTTCACACACATCCCCTCTGCCTTCTCATTCAGTGTTTATTTTCATTTTCAAAGAAAATATACTTAGGAACCAGAGATCATAGTTTAAAATATGTCTAGTGAAAATGGTTGCGAATATGGTTTGTTCAACCAGAGTAATGTTCCATACAAGACAGCACTCCTTTCTAGCTACAACCAACATGTGGGCCCCTACTGTTATAGTATAATTAAGTATATGAGTAACACATTTCTTCCATTTGATTTCAGGTATGTCTAAGAGATGCAGCATTTCTGAAACGGTGAGAACACAAGCTTTTGGCACTTCCCATGTTATGTTTTTATTCATTCATTCATTTATTTATTTAGCAAATTTCTATGCCGCCCCATTCGCTGAAGCCTGTGTGCTTTTAATTTGGCCCTGTGTGCTTTCTCCTTTTGGCTAACTGCTGGCAGATAGAATTAAGTGGTGTACATATTTGAATCCATCAGCACTTCTGGAATGGAACAGGGATCTTTTCATAAACTTTTAATTTGAAGGCTGAAGTGTTAATTGGTTGGTGAGATTGCTTATCCTTTTAATGTTCTGAGACTTAATTTCCCCTCCCTGAACAGACATGCACTTTGGAGGGGCCTACTCACAAGTCCACCTTTGAATGATGTGAAAAATTTGGATATCTAGCACAGCTGTGCTTTCAGTGTTTCACCCAAGATGCCAATCTTTGGGGCCACTGGAGCAATCATAGGAGAGGTGACTACAAGAGGGATTAAATAAAGAGCATGTTTTTGTTCTTTCAATGTCTCCCACAGGCAGAAGAGGACAATATTTAATAGCAGCAATCTGAAATTACACTTGGTTTTGTTTAGAGTTGCTAAGTTGGTTTCCTCTATTTAATTTATGCTATAGAAACTGAGCAAGTCAGAAGGGGTTTCCTGGGCCATCTAGTCCGACCCCTGGCTCAGCTCATGACATGCCTACCATGTGCATGTTTAGCCTATCCTTGAACACCCTCTCCGATGGGGCCTCAACCTCCTCCCATGGAAGCCCATTCCATACCCTCGAGGTCCTAACTGTCAGGAAGTACTTCCTGGCATCTAAATTGAACCTTGGTTCCTTGAGCTTGGCTCTGCTGGAGCACATCCTGCCCTTCTCTGCAGGGGAGAACAGGTCTCTACCCACCTCCATGTGACATACCCATATGTCGCCAACAGATCCCCTCGGAGTTTCCTCTTCTCCAGACTGAAAAGACCCAGTTCCCTAAGTCTCGCCTCATATGGATTTCCCTGTAATCCAGCCACCATCCTTGTGGCATTACGCTGGACTGACTCCAACCTGGCTATATCCTTCCTGTAATGTGGAGCCCAAAACTGAACACAATACTCCAGTTGTGGGTGCACCAGAGTTGTATAGAGTGGTAGTAATACCTCTCTCGATCTAGAAGACATGCTTCTGGCTATGCTAGGGTGGTGTTCTCCCTCTTGACTGCCATGTCACACTGCTGGGTCATGTTTAGCCTGCAGTCAACCAGCACCCCAAGATCCCTTTCACAAGCATAGAAGCCTTCTAAATAAAATAAAATAATAATAAATAAGTGCTGCTCTCCAGCTACTTGTCCCCTAACCACTACCTGTGGCACCCATTCCTATGCTCCAAGTGCAAGACCTTGCATTTATCTGCATTAAACACCATGCACATTAAACTTATCCACATTGAACCCCCTCCTGTAGTCCCCTGCTCACTTCCATAATCTGTCCAGATCCTTCTGGACCTGGAGTACCTGCTCTTCGGTTGTGGCCACTGCCCCTGTTTTAGTATCATCAGCGAATTTTATCAGCAGACTGGTCACCCCTTCTTTCAGGTCATTGATGAAAAGAATGAACAGGATCAGTCCCAGGAGAGGGCCCTGGGGGACCTCGCTTGTCACTGGCTTCCATCCTGATGATTCCCCACTAATGGTTACACTCTGTTTTTGGTCAGTCAGCCATGCCCTAATTCAGGCATGTCCAAAGTCCAGCCCGGGGGCCAGTTGCGGCCCATTTTCAAATTTCGAGCAGCCTGCAGCCTCTTCTCCCCACCGGCTCAGCCTGTCACTTATCCCTGCCGGCCGGCGTTTTTCCCTTCACCGCACAGCGGTTCCCGCAGCTGTCCCTTGCTGCCTCCTGCTCCTTCAAGGCTGGTGGGTATATTTCACCAGAAGATGGCAGTAGACCTGAGTCAGCACTCTCGCCGCGTGACCCTTGTGACACAAGGCTTGTGTGCCCATTTCTAAAATGGTGACTGTAACTAAAAAAAGGAAAGTTGACAGCGAGGGCCACTGCTTCCAGGACAAGTGGAAATTGGAGTATTTTTTCACTGAAATACGAAACAACTGTGTCTGCCTAATTTGCCAAGAGACTGTGGCTGTTTTCATGGAATTCAATATCAAGAGGCACTACCAGACAAAACATGCTATCTACAACAAGCTAACTGGGAACAAACGTGGCAAAAAACTGAAGGAACTAGAAGCTGCTTTAACGGCACAGCAGCGCTTTTTCATAACAGCCTGTGAGTCAAATGAAAATGCCACAAAGGCGAGCTACGAGGTGGCAACGCTGATTGCCAAGCACTGCAAACCTTTTACTGAGGGTGAATTTATTAAAGACTGCATGGTGAAAATGGTGGAGAAAATTTGTCCTGAGAAGAAGCAAGAGTTTGCCAATGTTTGCCTGGCTCGTAACACTGTGGTACGGAGAATTGAAGATGTTTCATCTGATAATAAGAGACAGTTAGAGGCAAAAGGAGTGGAGTTTGACTTTTTTCCGTTAGCCTGCAACGAAAGCACGGATGCATCTGACACCGCTCAGTTATTGATTTTTTTGAGAGGAGTGGACAATGACATGAACGTGAGTGAAGAGCTACTTGACCTCCAGAGCCTTAAGGACCAAACAAGAGGAACAAATTTATTTGTTTCTGTTTGTTCCGCCATAGATGACATGAAATTACCGTGGAATAAAGTCACTGGGATTATTATGGATGGCGCACCTGCCATGGCTGGCGAGTGAAGTGGATTATCAACCCTAGTCTGTAACAAAGTCAGCGAAGAAGGAGGCAAAGCTATAAAACTCCACTGTATTATTCACCAACAAGTTCTCTGTGCCAAACATCTGAAATATGATCATGTTATGATACCGGTGATGAAGGCTATTAATTATATTTGCTCCAAAGCCCTGTGCCACCGCCAGTTTCAACAGTTTCTACTCGACATCCAGGCTGAATACGGAGATGTTGTGTATCACAACGAGGCAAGATGGCTCAGTCGGGGGTCTGCACTACAGCGCTTCTACTCTCTTAGGGAGGAAATCGGACAATTCTTGGCAAAAAAGGGACAACCGATGCCAGAGCTATCTGATCCTGTTTGGCTGGCTGATTTTGGATTTTTAGTTGACATAACACGACATCTGAACATGCTGAACACAAGCCTTCAGGGGCAAAATCCACTGGTAAGCCAACTGTATTCACATATCAAAGCCTTTGGGACCAAGCTGCTACTTTTCCAAAGGCACCTGTCACAAACGCAGCCCAATACCGCACATTTCCCATCGCTGCAGGAAATAATGACCAGTTTTCCACAGAACAATATGAGTGCGCAAATAAGGAGGTATGAAGCAGACATCTCATCTCTGGCTGAGGAGTTTCAACAGCGCTTTCGGGATTTTGCAGCTATTGAAAAGGAGATCATTGAGCTGCAGTGTGATGCCGAGTGTCGCAGTCGGCACCAACAGCTCCCTCTTGTCACCTTTTACCGCCAGCTGGATAAAGACAGGTTCCAAGAGATTTGAACATTTGCTAAGAATATGCTGTGCTTGTTTGGTTCAACATACTTGTGCGAGAAGACATTCTCAGTTATGAACATTAACAAGAACCGCGTGAGGACGAGACTAAGTGACTTTCACCTGTGTGACATCTTGCGCATCAAAACCACTGTTTTTGAGCCAGACCTGGCCTATATAATGCAGTCGAGATCTCAGTATCACCCTTCACATTAGTGCAGTTAAGTTATTTGTTTAGTCTTTCATAAAATAGTTCATTTGCATTTAATGTTAATGGTTCAAAGAATGTCGGACTGAATGGTCGGCCCCCACACATTTTCACCTCACCAAATCTGGCCCTCCTTGCAAAAAGTTTGGACACCCCTGCCCTAATCCATCAGACAGTGTATTGGTCTATCCCAAAATTCCTCAGTTTCTCAACCAAGATGTCATGGGGCACTTTGTCAAAGGCCTTTCTGCAATCCAGGTAAACCACATCCACTGCATCCCCTCCATCTTGCCACTCTGAAACCTTGACATAGAATTCCACAAGGTTTGTTTGGCAGGACCTGTTTTTGTGGAAACCATGTTGCGTGGCCGCCAACCTCCCTTCCCTATCTAGGGTTACTAGATCTCTCACTATTATGAGCCTTTCCATTGTCTTTCCTACAATGGAAGTATGGCTAACTGTCCTGTAATTTCCCATGTCCCCTCTAATACCCCTTTTGAAAATTGGGACCACTGACACCACCCTCCAGTCCTCTGGAACCTCACCCATTCTCCACAAGTCGTCAAAAATGGAGACCAGCAGGTGCAAGAGGACCCCCACCAACTCCCAAAGTACTCTCAGGTGTAACCTGTCAGTGCCCGGCACCTTTGTAATGTCCAGGGCCCTGAGGAGCTCCTCGACTTCTAAGGGGGTGACTCTAATCTGTGCCTCTAAGTCCCTGGCCTCCTCTGATCCCCCATGTAGATCTCCCCCACAAAATTGTCATTTAGCATCTGTGCCTGTTCCCTCACATCAGTCGCTGAACCCCCTTTCTCCTTATTAAGCGGTCGCACTGCCTGTCTCCCCTTCCTCTTGCTATTTACCTGCTGATAGAAGCCCTTTTTGTTGCTCCCAATATTCTTTGCAAGTCTTGGCTCATAATCAGCCTTAGCCTTGCGAAGAATCCTTCTGCAACGGACCTTCTCCTCCTGGTATACCCTTTTGTCTATTTGCCCCAGTACCCATTTCCTACGGGGGTTCCTCCTGCGTCTAATCCCTCTAACCACCTCCTTTCACATCCAAGCTAGCACTCTCCTTTGCCTCCTCGCTTTACTATCTAGAGGGTATTGCCAAGGCTTGTGCCCCCAAGACCTCCCTTTTGAGAGTCATCCATCCCTCCTCAACTCCCTTGCCTTCCAGTACCCTCTCCCAGGAGACTTTCCCCAGTCTGTCCCTTAGTTGACCAAAGTTCACCCTCTTGAAGTCCCAGCTTCTAGTGCTTGACCTGCTGCTCGTCCCTATTCCCCTGATCTCAAAGCAAAGGATGGAGTGATCACTCGCATCCAGAGCTCCCCTAATCTGCACCCCATCTATCAGCTCCTCCCTGATTTTTGCAGGAAGGCTAAAACATGGAATGAACTGAGCTCTGATGCTGAGATATGTATCCTTAACAGACATTGTAACTCTACTACCCTTTGTGTTCCTTCTGTTCTTCTATATCCTTCAATTTTGAATTCCAGTCTTCGGAGTCATCCCACCAAGTTTCAGTTATACCTATCAGGCCATAGTCCCCCTCCTGTATTAAGAGTTCAAGTTCATGCTGTTTGTTTCCCATACCCCCGGCATTAATATATAGACACTGAAGACCACATGCTTTGTATGCTAGCTTTCTTTCTGCATTTTTGGAAGACTATTATTGGGCACTGTTAGAGCTGCTGTCTCTGTTGCAGTACATAAACCTTTGTCTGTTATTACATCCAGATGCACCTTTCCCTCCCCTGTAGGATTCAGTTGAAAGCTTTCCTGATAAACTACTTTATGCTGTGGCCAAACACATTCTTCCCAGTCCTTGTAAGGTGCAACCCATCCCTTGCCAGCAGTCCGGTCCATCTTTCAGGAAGTGTAGCTCATGGTCCCAGAAACCCCTTCAGTTGCAGCTCTCAGCAGCACATGGTCTACTTGGAAAAGATGGTTGCTGAGCTATCCCAGGCATCTCAACCCTTTGCCTATGCCTCTGTCTCATCTTCCACTACACCTCCATCAACAAACTCCTGTTAGCCTTCCCTGTTTGCTCATTCTGATCGCTCAGTCTCTGGAAGCTTGGTTGCTTGTATCCAATGGTTCCTGAACCAGCTGGAGCATCCTCTTCTGATTGGCTCAGCTAGGAGTCAGGAACCAGATTTGTATGATCATGACGTGGTTTTTCTTATTATTTGCCGCTTCTAAGCAAATTGTGCTAGCTATGTGGCTCTTTATTTTTCCTTGCTTTCTATCTTGTACAATCACAGTATTGATTTACTGTAGTGATTTATGTCCCAGTTGTATGCATATTTATTTGTTATGCATTTATTTATTAAATACTTTTTTATCCGCCCTATCACAAAAGTCTGAAAAAGTAAGGATTTTAACTGGACTCATTCTCAAGGAATAGGCCATATCTCTGTAGAGTTTTGTACCTCTAAGCCCATCAGAACTAATAGATGTAGGTGCTCAGGATACAGCCAAGGTGCAGAGCTAAGGTCCCCCAGCACCACCTTCTGTAATAAACTGGTCAAACAGGAGTGGAACCACTACCATGCAGTGCCTCCAACCCCCAAGCTGGCCAGCCTATCCAGAAGGATATCATGGCTGATGGTATTGAAAGCCGCTGAGAGATCCAGGAGAACCAACAAGGACACACTCCCCCGTCCCTCTCCCTGCACAGGTCATCATACGGGGCGACCAAGGCAGATACAAAACCATAACCGGGTCTGAAACCAGACTGAAATGGGTCCAGATAATCCGTTTCATCCAAAATTGCTTGGATTTGCCCCGCCACCACCTGTTCCAACATCTTGCCCAAAAGGGTCTTTTCTATGGCTGTCACCAAGCTATGGAACTCCCTCCCATATGAGGCAGGGTTCTTTGATTTCTCTTTGATTTCTTTCTAATTTTAAGCAAAGACTGTTTTATTCAAGAAGGGATTTGTTCTGTAAGTGGGTCTGTGGGTTGAGCGATGCTTTATTTTATAATTGTTGTTTTGAATGCATTTGAATGTGTTTTATCATATTCTAAATTGTGTTATGCCATCTTGAGTACATTTTTTGGTAGAAAGGTAGAGTATATCAAATAAAGATTTAATTTGCATGACATCTAATTTGCCTGACAGGAGATGACTTGCCATGCCAAACTATTGAGACTATCTCCTGTCCAAACCCCATTCATAGAAATCATCATCAAATTGGAAGGGACCCTGAAAATCATCCAGTCCAAATCATCCAATTTACATGTGATGATTTAAAACATGTATTCTTTATAAAGATGTATTCTTTCCAATAGAATACTAATAAATGCTTCCTAAAATGCATATGGAAACTTGTATGCTACTTTAATCAACAAACTGTCCATTAACCTTTATGGTATTAAGTTGTAGCTCTACATTATACTTTTTCTCTAGTTCATAATTTTTCTTTATCACTTTTGACAAGTGATAAACAGTGATAAACAATTAGAATAGACAGTTACTCTACTTACGAAAGCCAGCCATGGGATTGGTACTTGGGTAAAGGAGGTCATCAACGCCTCACTGAGGGAGGGCCGGGTCCCTGCCCCTTTGAAGGAGGCAGTCATAAGACCTGTCCTGAAGAAGGCGTCCCTGAACCCAGAGGTGGCTGCCAATTACAGACCGGTGGCCAACACTCCATTTTTGGGCAAGATGTTGGAACAGGTGGTGGCGGGGCAAATCCAAGCAATTTTGGATGAAACGGATTATCTGGACCCATTTCAGTCTGGTTTCAGACCCAGTTATGGTATTGTATCTGCCTTGATCGCCCCGTATGATGACCTGTGCAGGAAGAGGGACGGGGGAGTGTGTCCTTGTTGGTTCTCCTGGATCTCTCAGCGGCTTTTAATACGATCGACCATGGTATCCTTCTGGATAGGCTGGCCAGCTTGGGGGTTGGAGGCACTGCATGGCAGTGGTTCCACTCCTGTTTGACCAGTTTATTCCAGAAGGTGGTGCTGGGGGACCTTAGCTCTGCGCCATGGCAGCTTTGCCATGGAGTACCGCAGGGCTCTGTTTTGTCCCCCATGCTCTTTAACATCTACATGAAACCGCTGGGAGAGGTCATCAGGAGGTTTGGGCTGCAGAGTCATCAGCATGCTGATGACACCCAGCGCTACCTCTCATTTACATCTATTCCAGGTGAGGCAGTGGCTGTCCTTAACTGGTGCCTGACTGAGGTAATGGGCTGGATGAGGGCCAACAAACTGAGACTCAATCCAGATAAGATGGAGGACCTTTTGGTAGGTGGTTCGGGTTGCACTCCTTGTAAAGGACAGGGTCCACAGCTTAGGAATGCTTCTTGACCCAGAACTGTCCCTGGAGGCCCAGGTGACAGCGGTGGTGAGGAGCACCTTCCTACAGCTTCAGCTGGTCCAACAGCTGCGTCTTTACCTGGACAAGCACTGCCTAGCAACAGTGACCCATGCCCTGGTAACTTCCTGGTTGGATTATTGTAACATGCTCTATGGGGGGCTGCCCTTGAAAACAGTCTGGATACTTCAATTAGTGCATAATAGAGCTGCCAGGCTGCTGACGGGGTCTGGCCAGTATTCTCATATAACGCCAGTCCTCTACCAGCTTTACTGGCTCCCAGTTGAAGTCCGGGCCCAATTCAAGGTGCTGGTACTTACCTATAAAGTGCTAAACGGCTTGGGTCCTGGATACCTGAGGGAATGTCTCTTCCCCTATATCCCCTCATGCCCCTTAAGATCGGCAGGGGAGGCCTTGCTCCGGGAACCCTCTTTGAGGGAGGTACGGAGGGTATTCACACGGAGGAGGGCCTTCTCTGTGGTGGCACCCAGACTATGGAACCCTCTATTCCTTTTGGCACCAGGTAAAGACCTTTTTATTTAATCTCCATTTTAACAACTAATATTGTTTTATTAATATTGCTAATGTATATACAGTTGCATTTTATTTTTATTACTTTTATTAATTAAGAGGGTATATTGTGAAATGTTTTATCCTATTTATATATTGTTATCTACTGTAGAATTTTATTCATGTAAGCCATTCTGAGGCTTTTGCAAAGGATGGCACGCAAATGTCATAAATAAATAAATAAATCCTCTTGGGTTCTAACTAGAGAATCAAAATCCAATTTTGCAGGAGAAAATTATGACCATACACAAAAATTATTGCATGTCTTGTCAGTAGGACTGTACTTGTTTCTTAAACCACTTACTATGGAGTAATTTCATTGCATTAGGGATTGCATTACATTGCATTGCTATGTGTTTTGGATAGTTTCCTCACTGCCCATCTAATGACAGTGCTTTCTATTGTTTAAGATATTGCCAATAAATACAATGGATTGCGAGCATAATTCATTCCGGTAACATGCTTGCAATCCAAAGCACTTGTATATCAAAGCAAATTTCCCCATAAGGTTCAATGTAAATAAGGTTAATCTGTTCTGTAACTTTTTTTTTTTAATCACAAAAATTTGAAGCAGGCGCGCTTGGGAGGGGAGGCGGGCACGATCGTGGGCATGCTGAGGGGGGAGATGGGCTTGCTCGCAGGCACTCTGTGGGAGTGGAGACGATGCTGTGCTCACACCCACAGTGAGAGAAGAACCGGCGCTCAGTTGTGACGTGACGCTCGGCAGGCAAAGCACGCGTAATACTCGTACTGCAAGACATTGCTCGTTTATCAAGTTAAAATTTAGAAAAACTTTTTGCTCGTCTTGCAAAACACTCGCAGACCAAGTTACTCACAATCCAAGGTTTTACTGTATTCTCATTTAGAAACATTTATGGTTATTCTGGCTCTGCTAAGCCTCATCTGTCGAAACGTACAATCATAGAACAATGTAATCTGCATATAAAACTGATGGGCTCACATTGTGGAATTACTGAGCAAATCAATCTCACTGCATAAGTTTTCATGAGATGGGAAAACCATTGTTTTCATTCTAACTATCAGCAGGCCAGTGTCCCCACCCCTCCCCAATTTCACCTTTTGTGTTTTACCTATTTGTATTATTTAGTGGTGGGGAGGGCAAAGAAGAGAGTGAAGATTAGCAGCAGCTGTTGACTGCTGGGAGACATAGAAAGAGCAGCAGCACAACCCCAAAAAAAGAGGGAGGCATGTGGTGGCCATCATCACCTGGGAGCAAGGAAAGGAAACCTTTGTGCTTAAGATGTAATCTCTCTGGGTAAATAATCTTGTGTTTTGATAGCTGTGATCTCTCCTTTTTTGTTTTGTTTCAGTTTTCATTGGGCTTGCCTTGTTGTGGATGAAGCTCACAGACTGAAGAATCAGGATTCATTGCTTCATAAAACACTCCTGGAGGTAAATGGTTGATTTCTTGTTCGTTCCTTCTTTCTCATTATACAGCTCTTGTCTTTAAATTTCTGTCTGGAACTCAGATGGGTTATCTTTCACAGGTCCTTTACTCATGTAAGTGTTTTGTTTTGTGTTCAGCAATTGTCTTGCCTTTTGGAGTGAAACCAGATAACAATATACCGTAATAGCAGCTTAAAGAAAATAATTAGCAAATGTACACCTGGGACAAAATAAGTCATAATTAAAACTAAATGCCCTTTTTAACACTAGTAAACAGTCCCTTTGGGCAGAACTAAGTTTTACAACTTTTCTGGGAAAGAGATTTCATAGCTTTGGATGAACCTGTTTGTTGTCTTCACTGATCATGCTGTAAGGGCAAGCAGGGTACTTTTAGGAGTGACCAAACTATGCTTTCCCTTGCCCTCAGCTCCCCTCCCTCTGTCTTATCCCCACTAGCTTGGTAAAAACAGTTCTGAAGATAATGAATGGCTATGAAAAAACTGCCTTCCAGTGAAGTCTCAACTATATTATTCTGGATCTTTCAGTTTTCAACAGATTTTCGCCTCCTGCTGACAGGTACTCCCATTCAAAATAGCCTCCAAGAGTTATATGCTATGCTTGCATTTATTGAACCAGTTACATTTCCCAGCGAGCTAGTAGAAGAATTTATTGAATATTACCATGGAATTGAAAAGGAAAGCAAAACAGGCAAGTAAAAACATTGGGATTTCTTTTATTTCATGCAAAATACCGGCAGTTGAGACTAAGGTGTCTTTTTGTTTCTGTTTCTAAACTGCTGTGTAAAAAAATTATGTGAGGCACAACATTCCATTAGATGTTCATAAAGCTTTTAGTCTGCTGTAATGTAAGGAATCATGTCTTTGTGTCTATATAGCCATGTTATCATTATTATCTTTTATTATTCCATTGAATTTATATCCTGCCTTTCTTCCTCTTGCAAGAACCAAAGTGGCTGTTAAAGTGGCTCTTCTCCACTTTACTTTCATAATTGCAACCAACCCTGTGGTGTGGGTTAGGCTGAGAGTCAGTAAGTAGCCTAAAGTCACCCAGGCAGCTTCATGGCCTAGTGGGGACTAGGACCCAGGTCTCCTGAGTTCCAGTCCAGCACTAACCATACTGGCTATATTCCTTTTCTTTTCCTTTCCAATAATGTTATACGGGATCAGTCTCTCTTGTTTTTAACTTGGTATGAGTGGCTGGAATTAGGGGTTCATCAGTCCATGAGCAGTGCAAAAACTTGTGATACTGCAATCTGCAGTGGGGAAGCACAAAACCTCTTTAGTTCTGTTTTAAAGCATTATTTTAAAAAATGCAACATGGGGCTAAGTTTGGTGTATTTGTGTGGGAAGAATAGTTGGTTGGATCCCTTAGTAAAATTATGGGTGCTAGTCAATAAGTGCCTCTCAGATAAGCCACACAGCACTTACAGGTCTGCACTGCTACCACAACAGTAATCATACTGGGTACGGTTGCCTATTTACATACGTCTGAGAATCTCTCTTTGGCTAGGGTTCCTGAAAATGTGTGTTCGGGTGACATAAGGCCTGCGTGCTTTCATGTCCATGCTTTCATGTCTGCTACAGGAAGCATTCTCTGAAAGTGATGTTTCAGCTCATTTTTGGCTGTTTAACTGAACTCTCCTGAGTTAGGAGATTTATTTATTATTTATTTATTTGGGACATTTCTATCCCATCCTATGCAAAAGTCTCAGGATGGTGATACAATATAATATGGTGGTAGTACAAAAAATAGAATATAAATATCTAATAAAACCAACATTGAAAACCACAATTAATCCTTAAAATATAGGGAAAATAAAAAGGGTTTTATTAGCACTGAAATGAATAGTGTTGGCACCTCTCTGGGGAGCAGATTCCAGAACTGGGGTGCTACTGCAGAAAAGGCCCTTCTCTGGATAGCCACTCTTCTGATCGCCTTCAAAGAGGACTCCTGAAGAAAGACCTCAGACAAAGCTCTTAGGAGATGGACAGGTGTATACAGAAGGAGATGCTTCTTCAGATACCCAGGCCCTAAACCATTGAGGGCTTTATACGTCATCGTTAGCACCTTAAATTGGACCTGGACTTCAATTGGTAACCAGCACAGATGATACAAGACTGGTGTTATATGAGCATATCTACTAGTCTCCATCAAAAGCTTGGTCGCTCTGTTCTGGACCAACTTGAAGTATCCTGACAATCTACAAGGGCAGCTCCACAATAGAGTGCATTACAATAGTCCTATCAGGAGGTTACCAGAGCATGGATCACTGTTGCTAGGTTCTGCTCATCCACTTAAGGATGTAATTGATGGGCCAGCCAAAGCTGGTGGAAAATGCTTCTTGCAACAGCAGTCACCTGGAACATCAAGGATAACTCTGGGTCAAGGAGCACTCCCAAACTATGTACCCTTTCCCTGGGGTGGGGGGAGTGCAACCCCATCCAGAACAGGGCAAAAATCACTCACTTGGAAAGCTGAGCCACCCACCAATAGAACCTCCATCTTATTTGGATTATAGCCAGGTTAGGGTCAGTGCAGCATAGGGCCACAAGGATGGTGGCTGGAGTGCAGGGAAAACCGTATGAGGCAAGACTGAGGGAACTGGGTCTTTTCAGCCTGGAGAAGACTGGGGAAGAGGGGGGCAGGTGAGCATGCAGATAATGTGCAGAGGGTGTGGAGCAAGCCTGAAGGCTTCTTCCTGGTGGCGCAGCTCTTTGCAGACGCAGCATTGGGTCAGGCTGGTACTGGGAGGCCTTGGGGTCCTTGCTTCAGCCAGCAGACAAAGGTTTTACCCCCCACCTTCTCCTTCCACTGCAATCAGAAATGAAGGAGAAGCACCACTACAGAAGTGATTCCAAATTCAGAGAACAGCTCTTTTGTAGTACCTGACCACAGTCTATGCTGATTACTATTAAAACTAGTTCTATGATAATATTTAGAGAAGAGCGCAGGTAGCCATTTATATTGTTCCATTCTCTTTTGAAACAAGGCAGTAAGATGATGGCTATACAGTTTCAAGAAGGGGGATTGTGATCCTTAGAATGTTGCTCCCACTGGCTCATGCACGCGCTCTTGTATTTTGAGTATGACATTTCAGGAAACAGCATTCCGTATATTGCTGGTGCAGTCTCTCTGTAGATAGTGCAATACAACACAGTGCACTTCTGGAAGATCTAAGAGAATGGGTCTTCTCTCTGCTTGTATGTAAAACTTTGCACTGCATTTCTGTTTCTCTTATTCAGCCAAAGAACTGCATAAGCTGTTACAGCCTTTCTTGCTCAGGAGAGTGAAGGAGGAAGTCATAGCAGAACTCCCAAAGAAAATGGAGGTTGTTCTCTACCACGGAATGTCAGCACTGCAAAGAAAATTTTACAAGGCTATTTTGATGAAAGACTTAGGTAAACAGACCAGTGAAAGATTCTAGAATCAGTTTTTCTTTTAAACATGGATTCAGAAATGGTTGTGTCTGGGATAATGGGGGGAATTAAACAAGAAATGGAAAATTCAGTCAGATGATGTGTTGGAGAATACATGAGCAGAGCCAGCTGGACCTGGGGGTCAGACAAGATGGTCTGGGAGGTCCTTCCTGACTCACTATTTTTCTATGCTTGGCTGGAAGCATCTTTCCTTCTAAAATCCTCTTTTTTCATTACTAGTATATGTCAGTTAACAGGGCTGAGTAATTATATAAAAATGATGGCCATCCTAGTAAAACTGAAATCTGGTGTTCAGTGTCCATGGGGCACAATCATTTCTCATATTTAGAAAGGTTGCCTTCATACAATTTGGAAGCTCAGGACGTGGAATAACAGGCTGAAGTCCAGGTTCTGCCTGAACAACAGGAAGAACTCTTCCTCACTGTTAGAGCAGTATGACAGTGGAACCAATGGTCTAGGGAGGTTGTGGGCTCTCCCCCACTGGAGGCATTCAAGATGCAACTAGACAGCCATTGGAGAAGGCTGCTTTACTTGCAACAGAGAAAGTCAGAAGGGGCCTCCTGGGCTCTAGCCGGCTCGGCTCATGAAACGCCTGCCATGTGCATGTTCAATCTATCCTTGAACACCCTCACCGATGGGGCTTCAGCCACCTCCCATGGAAGCCCATTCCATACCCTCGGGGTCCTAACTGTCAGGAAGTAATTCCTGGCATTCAAATCAAACCTTGGTTCGCTCAGCTTTGCTCCCTTGGAACGTATCCTGTCCTCCTCCACAGGGGAGAACAGGTCTCTACCCACCTCCATGTGACACCCCCTCACATACCTGTATGTTGCCAACAGATCCCCTCAGAGTCTCATCTTCTCCAGCCTGAAAAGAGCCAGTTCCCTTAGTTTTGCCTCATACAGCTTTCCCTGCAATCTGGCCAACACCCTAGTGACCCTACACTGCACCGATTCCAACATGGCAATACCCTTCCTGTAATGTGGAACCCAGAACTGAATACAATACTCCAGTTGCGGGTAAACTAGAGTCATATATAGTGGTAGCAATATCTCTCTCGATCTAGAAGCTACACTTCTGGCTATGCATCGAAGGGTTGCATTTGCCCTCTTGACCACTGCGTCACACTGCTGACTCATGTTTAGCCTGCAGTCGACCTGCACCCCAAGATCCCTTTCACAAGTGCTGCTCTCAAGCCACTTGTTCCCTAACCTGTACTTATGACACACGTTCCTATTCCCCGAGTTCAATGAGGCACTTATCCTCATTGAACACCATCCTGTTGTCCCCCAACCACTTCCATAATCCATCCAGATCCTTCTGGATCTTGAGTACCTGTTCCTCAGTTGTGGCCACCACCACCATGTTTGTATTGTCTGCGAATTTGAACAGCAAACTGTTCACCTCCTCTTCCAGGACAGAGCCCTGGGGGACCCCACTCATCACCAGTCACCATCCCAATGAATTCCCCATTAGTAGTTACCCTTTACTTTCAATCAATCAACCATGCCCTAATCCATCAGACGGTGCATTGGTCTATCCCAAAATTCCTCAATTTTTCAACCAGGATATCATGCAGCACTTTGTCAAAGGCCTTGCTGAAATCCAGTTAAACCTCATCCACCGTTTCCCCTCCATCTAGCCACCCTGAAACCTTGTCATAGAATTCTACAAGGTTTGTCTGTTTGTACGGAAGTCCCACTGCATGGCTGCCAACCTCCCTTCCCTATGTAGGATTTCTAGTTGTTTCCCGATTATGAGCCTTTCCATCATCTTTCCCTCCTCTCCCCAATTGGCCCAAATCCCTGGACAGGGAAGAGAGAGGAAAGGGCCACCTGGACCTTTAGGTCCTTGAGTCCCTTGCCCAGAGCCTCGAAGTCCCGTGGGTGTGTCGTTCACCTCCATGTGGATCACCAGTGGCTGGTGACCCCCTGAGGAAAGATGATACTCCAGTCTGTGCATCATATACTGAAATGGTGCAGGCAGCAGACCTCCCTTGTCTCAGGGTCAGGATGGTATACCACCACCTCAGTTCCTCTTAGCAGGGAGTCCCCTCTTCCTATTTGGGATAGATGGCTGTGCCTTGCCCCTTGCCACTGCTGCAGTGGCCCCCTGGCCACTTCTGGCCCCTGGCTGGAGTTCCTAAACTGAATGGTCCCCCAGGTCATTCTCAGCCCTAGCCTCCCAAAGCAGAGGAAACCTGTTTCCCAGCTCTAGGTTAGTGCCAGGAGATGGAGAAGGCCATGCCAGTGTCCTCCTGTGAGTGACATGCCACCATGTGTTCCTGACTGTTTCTCCCTCATCCTTCTCCCCAGGTGGGGGCTGCTCCTGGTTGGTCTGGAGAGCGCTCTCAACCATGTCCAGGTGTCACTCACCCATCCTTATCACCCGGAGGGAGGTGAGGGCATCCTTCAGACACCTGACCTTCTCCTGTAGGAGGGTCACCAGCTTGCACCTACTGCAAAGGTATCTCTGCTGTTCATGAGGAAGATGGACATACATGGCACAGGTGCTGCATTTGACAGCAACACCTGTGGCTCCAGCCATGGCTGTCCCCTGGCCTGGCATTGGCCACCCCTCACAGGCCCTACCTTCTTCCCCTGCCTTGTCTGCCTTACACTACCCTTACCTGACTATTCTCAGCTAGTTCTCCCAGACAGAATAATACAAGAAAAACAAAACAGTCAATTAAAAAAACAAACGAACAATGACGTGGGGAAGAGATTCCCCAGGCAGCCCTGTCCACAGCTAAGGGATGCAAACCAGGGATGACACTCATCTCATGTTGTCCTTAATGTGGTGCTGTGGGCCCTGCCAACAGCTGAGTGCAGCCTAATAATCCTCAGAGGCTGCTGGCCCCACTCCCTTTGCTTCCTCCTGGGCCTCTCTAGCCCCTTTTCCTTTATCTCCACTGTTCCTGCTCCCGCTTCTCTGCCCAGGCTCCTGCCTTGCCTTCGCCAGTTCCCTGGCCACTCTCTGCACACTCTCCCAGTCTCTGCTACTCTGCCAACATCCAAAAAGAAGTGTAGCACATGGTCCCAGAATTCATATCGCTCACATTGCCACCATCTTTGTAGCCAGGGATTCACTTTGAGTATTTTTTTCCCCTGGGTATTCCTCTTCCAAGAACTAGTATTGAAGCATTAAAGAAAAAGAACAGGAGAGCCTGGAGGAATGTTGTCCACAGGGTCGTGATGGGCTCGGCATAACTTTATGACTAAACAGCAACAACAACATTAAAGAGAAAACTATCTGAGCCCCAAAGTTCTTGACTTTTCTCCCTAAAGCTTCAGAATCAGGCCACAGTCAAGAGACAACACCCTTATTGTGTTACCCGTTGCCACTGCCAGAGGGCAGCTGTCTAAGCCTTAGAGGCTGCTGACCCCGCCCCCTCTGCTTTTTCCTGGGCCTCTCTGGCCTCTCTATCCCTGCCTTTCATCCTATCTACTGTTCCTGCGCCGCCGCCGCCGCCGCCCCCCCCCCACACCAATCCTCTGCCCAGGCTCCTGCCTTGCCTTTGCCAGTTCCCTGGCAACTCTCTGCACTCTCTCAGCCTCTGCTGCTCTGCCAAGATCCAAAAAAAGAAGTCCTGCACTGAACAGGAGATTGGAACTGATGGTCCTTTGGCCCCTTCCAACTCTACTGTTTTATTTATTTATTTATTTAAAAATTTCTGTGCCGCCCCATTCGCCGAAGCCTTGGGGCAGCTTACAAAACATCAGTTAAAATATAAAAACACTAAAAATATAAAACACATTAACATTATAAAATAAGTCACCCTGGCCGAAGAATTACATGATTTACCCAGGTGATATGAGACTAGTTACCAATTATTACATTCTCTCCTTTGGCTGCCTCCCTGATTTTCCTCCACAACAAAATCGCCATTAGTGTCTTGGTCAGATAGGAAGTCCCCAGTGCTAAGTTTATGTATTTATTTCATGTTTATAGTGCCCCACAGCCAAAAGGCTTTCTGTTCCTTTTCAAGCCATAACAGTTTACTCCTCTTGTACACTGATTGGTTAGACTTCATGTCAGCATTGAAATAGGAAACATCACCACCAGTATGCTTCTCCCAGTCTCTTCTACACAGTTTGTACCCAGAAATAACCACATGCTGTTGCTTCTTTAAATACCATCATGTTTGACTCGAGAATCTTTTAACAGTAGCATATAAAACACCGGTTTGTGTTTGTGTTTCCAAATATTTTTAGTGCATGCATTAACCCCAACTGCTTGGCCTCATTAAACAGTTGTCCTGGCTTTCTGTACACTCGTTGCCAAGTCGTAATCAGACCTCATTTGGATGATTTGGAAACATTTTCACAAGCATGCCTTAGGAGCTTAAGAAGCATCTGTTTTGTGACATCCCTGTCAGCTTTCCTCCAGAGGTCAGTTTAAAAACTGCTCTATAACCTCCTTAATATTCTATTCAGAACTCTGGGTCCACTGCAGTCCCTTAACATCACCATGGATTTCCCAGGCCTTGTTCCCAAGTGCCTAACAGATCTGTCTGTCTTGCCTTCTGACACTCTTGTCATCCATGTGTTGAGGGTTTTCATTTCCACCTGTTGAGCTGGTCCTGCATGTAGAACAGATATCACATTGTAAACTTACTTCCTTGGAGGTCTTGAATATCAGCATTCTGGATAGTAAACTACATTTAGCTTCTATGACCTCTGTAACTACATTTCTCAGCTTTTTGCTGTTATTATGCAGCACAAATTCTGACTCATCCCCATGCATTCTGTGGAATAGAATGTGATACATGGAGCCTTTGCCTCAGGCAGGCAAGTCTCCAAAAGCAGGTTTCCAAACCTTCCTATTTTCAAAAGTTTTTGGTATCTCTAAAATACTGCATGCCATCATAACAGGGGTTGTTTATAGCAACACTGTTGTGGCCTTGCAGGGTTTTTATTTCCTCACTTTTGTGAGCAGGGTTGTTGGGTTGTCACTTCCCTCTTTTTAACCAAACTCAGAATAAAACCTTAGAAGCGTTGTTCTTTATTGAAACTTGTCTGTCTTCAGAACAGCTTTACTCAAAGAATGCTTATGCAAGAGTGGCAGGAAACGCATCTGCTCATGTAAAAAGTTGAATCCTAACTGAAACTTCCCTTCCATCCCTCTCTTTCAATAAAACTTCTGACTCTTGCTGCTTGTGGAGCTTGATGGCAGAAATGTAATTGGGCAGCTCACTTTCCCCATTACCATCTGACCATGGCAAGGAGCTCTTCCTGCCTCTGCTCCCCCTCCCACCCTGAAAAACTTTCCGCTCTTTCCAAACCAGACAAATTCTCACTCACAAATTCTCAGGTCGAGAGAAACTTCAGAAGGCAACCTTGAATTAGTCAACTCCTCCTCCCCTCATTGCTTCTCTGCCTCAGGATCAGACAAATCTATCTGAGCAGTCTGTAATGAGTGGGACAAAGCTCCTTCTCTACCATTACCAAGAGCTTTCTTTTCTGCTCCAGCTGCCAGAAGAATTTGAATATTGAACTGGGGTCTAAAATTTTGAAACTGCTGGTTTTACTGAAAACTTCAGCACTGTATTTTTCTTTAAATCCTGTTGACTCTATTGTGTGTGTAATATTTTACATTTCAGATGCATTTGTAAATGAAACAGGGAAGCAAGTTAAGCTCCAGAATGTGTTAATTCAACTCCGGAAATGTGTAGCTCATCCATATCTGTTCAATGGTAAGAATGAGAAATGATGAATTACTGATGCTGTTGTAGAATGAGGCATGTCGGGCTGCTTCACATCAGGGCTTTCCTGTAGTTATAGAATATTTAGGAAGGTATCCAGCAGGGACTACCTGCAAGCAGTCAGCCCCGCCAGTTCCAGCAGGCAGCGCTTGTGTAATGAAATTGCCAGATCTGGCTGCTCATGGAACAACAGTCATAGTGGGCTCACATCATGCACAAGCAGCATAGGATACTGACCAGTATATGTGCACTGCTTAATTAGAGGTAAAAAAAATGGTTTGTGGTTGAGTTGTGAACGGTGGTTAACAAACCATTGTTGCTCTTGTGGCTGGGTTCAGACAATTCAGTAACTTTTGTTTCAACAACCCATACTTAACCTTTGATTGTAGGTTGTTTTGTCTGAACCCAGCCATTAAGAATTGACCTGTGAGTACTGCAAGATTCCATCTTTTCTCTCCCTCCCCCACCCATTCTTTTTAATATCTGAAAGAAGCCTTTGGGAAAGCTTATGGTGAGCTAACATACTGATGACAGTTATTTATTTCCTTTTCTTCTAAATCTACCAAATCTACCTAGAATACCCAAACAGCAATTTTGAGGTGGTGATTGAATGGTTAAAAGCTAATAAACTGAAAACTAAATCCATTACCATAGCATTGCCTATAGTGAAGAAATGGGTGAAGTGGTCAGGGGCTGGGGTTAGAATTAGGGTCCTATGTAGGATCACGTTGCCTCTGAAGGGAGTATGTCTGCATCTTAGCATTCAGTGCTGGGCACAGTGCTCTAGTTTGATTCGCAAGTGGCAGTTGTGGGAAGCTAACACCATGTATAATTTGCAATCTCTACATTGCAGTACTGTACTGTGTTAAATGAAAGGCCACCTAGAAAATATGGCTAGAAGCTGCAGTTGTTGAAGAATCCGCTAGAATATTGAAGGGGCTTGCCAAAAGACGCACAACATCCTTTCTAAAGGAGCAGTACTGACAATAGTTTGTTTCTCATCTCAGTGCAAAGTAATGGCATTAATCTTTAAAGCTCTTCCATGAGCTGGGGCCCATAATTTCGGAAAGAACCCTGCCTCCTGTGATATCCTAGGCACTTTGAGATTGTCAGGAGACCTTGTTTACAGTTCTCTTTTCAGGGGGCACAGTTCAAGGCAGAATGATCTCGAACCTTCTCTGTGGCAGTCTGCTCCCCACCACTGGAACGCCCTTGGCAGGAAGATTCTCCTGGCCAGTTCTTTTCTGGCATGAGAAAGCTGGGCAAGACTTTTTATTTACTGAGATCTCAAGAGATAACTTGAAGCTACAGGAAATTCTGCTCCTTCTAGTTCGGTCTTGAAGCTGCCTGTCATCTAGTGTATATTAGTTTTGGGGAGGATGTTAACTGCTTTTAGGTGAAAAAAATCCTCAAAAGATGGTTTAAAAGTAATAAAAGCTGTATCGCTGTGCACATTGCACAGGCTGCTGTGCAGACTGTATCTGCAGTTTAGTTACCTGTGTGAAGTTCTAGAACCTAAGTTTTGCCATGATCAAAGATCCTGCCAGTTCAGAGGGTGAGATCAGAAAAAGATTTTCAAGCCCCTTCTACAGTTTAATGTCCATGAGAGCAGCTGTGCAGTGATATGTTTTGTCTTAGAATAAATATTCAGATGCAATCCTTTATAGTTAGCCTATTAGCTACCTTGGGTTCCTCATAAGAGTTAAAAGGGGAGAATATAAATGTAATGTAATAATCATAAATAGTGATACTTCTTGCTAAAACTTCTTTTCTAGGTGTTGAGCCAGAACCTTTTGTCATTGGGGATCATCTCATTGAAACCAGTGGGAAGCTGAGCTTGTTGGATAAATTGCTCTCTTTCCTTTATGTTGGGTATGTTTCATGTTACTGAACTTTATGTTTTCCCTTGCTTAATGCATTACTACATGTCTTCAGTTTTCTGGACATTTTCACAACAGTGACTAATGTTTAACAAATTGGCACCATCAGCCCTATGGAAACAACTAGCATGGCAGGGAGAGGGAGAGGCATATATCCTAAAGCAATTTAGAAGCCAGGCAATATCTAGCAAACCATTAAGCACTTCTTGATCTTGCTGATCTCAAAGGTAGGTGCTTTTTCCAAATCTTGCACACTCAAGTCCAGACTTGTGCCAAGGGCCAGGATAGGTGAGTAGTGATATTCATAGAGGCTGCCAGGGCTGCATCTCTGGGTGGAGGTCTGGTGCTGTGCAGTGCTTAGGGCCCCCAGATACAATCTCTCCATCACCCAGTAGTCTGCTCACTCTTTCCCCACCCCAGCAAGCAGCTGCCCCTCCCTCCCTCCCTCCCTCCCTCCCTCCTTCCTTTCTTTCTTACTTACTTACTTACTTACTTACTTACTTACTTTCACCTTTTTAGAACAGTCTAGATCCACTGGGGAGGAAGCTTCTCCATCTGTCCTCTAGCCGTCCACATGGGCCCGCAGGCATACGGGGAAAATCAACTTGCTGGGTACCACAACTTGCAGAGTATCTGAACTCTTCTAAAAGTTAGTGGGGGAGGGAGGAAAGGAAAGGTGCCACTGCCTACCTGGAAAGGAAGAGGGAGAGGCAGTGTGAACACCAGTGTCCAGGGAGTGAAGGAGGCAAGAGAAGAATGATGTGGGGTGGAGAAATATCACGGTCATAAGAGCTCTGGTGGATGAAACTGAGGTAGGGAGTGTTCCAGGAATGTTGAACTGGATTCCAGTTGCAGAGCCATTGTTCAGATCCCCTCCCCCTCCTTCTAACTACTTTCTAAAAGAGGCTGTCATGGAGGAACCGGTTTGGAATTGTAGTGCTTAACCTCTTGCTCAGAAAATTGTTTTCCTGATCTAATTCCCCCCTTACTTCCACTGCTACTCACCCTGGTGGGAGGAGATCAATTGTTATGTATCTGTATCATATATATGGTTTCCCTTGCATGGAACAAAGCAACTGTAGAAGTGTTTTAGACTAGCGGAAAATGGAGCTGGGAACATTCATCATCCCCTCTTCTCCCTGCTCTTGGTCTAGTCTTAAGAGTAAATTCAGTCCTAGATTGCTTGCTTTTTGGTCCAGGTTAAGTATAAATTGCTTCGCTGACTTTGAGCTTTTGAATAGAGTTTGGAATCTTAAAGTGTTAACTGATAAACTGTTAACAGTAAAATGAGAAAAATCAAAGGAAGCCTGGGATGCAAATACTGTACAGAATGCTGTATGAAAGACTTTCATGTGACCAGGCTGTCTGGCAGATACTAGCACAAACAATATGGTAGCCATTTCATGTTCCTTGGTATGTGTACCAAGTAATCCTATTTTGCTTCTCCTTCCAGAGGTTTCCTTGCTGCATCTCACACAGGCCAAGTGGAACATCTCTGGTCTCTATTCACATAGTGTCTGCTAAGATGGGGGCATACACTTTCTACAGACACCCTCTAACTTTCTACCTAGTAGAAACAGTATGCAAAATCATTGATTTACTTATTTATTTGCTTAACTTCCAATATTTGGGTTTTGCATGTCCAGAGCCTGGTGGGACATTTGTCTTTACTTCCAATTTGCTGTTTGGTTTACTTTGTGATGAGACTGGATTCAGACTAAATTGCATAGTAGTAGCCCACCCTGATACTTGCTAAATTTAGCGGTACCTATTTACTAAGTCAAATCTTCCCCAGTTGCATTACACAGAAACCTGAGTTGAAATCAGAGGCTTCTTTCCCTTTCTCATTCCAGTGGTCATCGTGTACTGTTGTTTTCTCAAATGACCCAAATGCTGGATATTCTACAGGACTATATGGATTACAGAGGTAAATTATGTAGCTGGTTTTATTGTTGGGGACTATATGGCAGATACTAGCATAAGTAGAATGGTTATTTCATCTTCCTTTAGTTCACAATTCTATTTTATTCCTGTCTGCAGAGACCTCCTTGTTGCATCACAAACAGGAGAAGTGGACAGTGCTGGTTTCCTCTCGCATAGTGTCTTCTAAGATAGTGGCATACACTTTATAAAGGCACTCCCTAAATTCCCCGATTCTCTCCCTCTCTGGCAGAGATAGAATTATATATGTATACTAAAAGATGAGGGAAAATCACTTATTTAACTTCCAGTATTTGAGCTTTCCATATCCAGGAAAAAGCTAAAATGTTCTTCAGCTGACCATTTGTGCACAGATGGGTCTTAAAGAAAGGAGCTTGACTACTATTCAACCAGTGTTCTCTAGGACTTTCAATAAAAGCTTTAGCTACTTTTTTCACATTGGAATGCACACAGGACATTCAGCTCTTACTTTAGCCATTTAACTGAGAAGACACTCAGGTGTAATAACTAGACAGATGGAGACTCAGCTTCAAATTCATCCTCAAGCTACTTAAGCCAGTCACTGCCTAAGCTATTTCACAGGATGGTTGTGAGCGTAGAACAGACATGGATGCAGAACCATGTAAACCAATTTTGAACTCCTTGAAGGAAAGGAGGATATACATATTTAAACATACACTTAGTTCTCATTGATGTGATAGAATAAACACATCATTCTCCAGTTAACACCATTTCAGATGGCAGGGGGTGCATTGACTCATTTTCTACTACCAAACCGTCACCATCCTCATCATCTGTGGACAGAAAAGTCATAGCATGCTGTGCAGGAGGTTAGGTTAGAAGAGATCTTGGTGATATTTTCATTTGAAGGGAGGAGTGTTATGTGAAAAAGTGTGTCAAGACTTTGAGCCACTAACTACAGTTTGATATAGAACCAAGTCACAGATCTTGCCTCATCTTTGGGCATAAAGCAAGTGCCAACCTTGCAATTTAAACGTGTTTTGAAGCTACTGTATCATGTGTTGATACCTCATTTTTGATGTCTTGCCATGGGATATTAGGCTTGTTTCCAATTTTTAGGTTTCTTTCAGCGATCGATTACAAAATATCTGAGTTACTTTGTTAAATTCCTAACATTTCTAAGTGTGACCTGCTCCTAGTACTACATTGTATGTATACCTGGGTACACAGTCGTAAGCACCAGGGAAGGATACAGTTTTCATTTGTCACCTTCTAGATATAAAACAATTTTAACCTCTTTCTGTTCTGTGAGGCTTCTGTCTATGACAGAAAAAGAAGTAAATGAACCTACTGAGGTGAAGCCAGATCCAATTATGTGTATTTAGACTAAAGGATGTTTGAGTTCCTTTTCAGAAGGAGTGTGTGACTTGGCTACTGATACAAGCCAAGCTGTAGCAGGAACTACTTGGCGCAGAGCAGTGCCAGAATGGTAGGCAACACTCTTCACTGTTAGCTTTTGCTGAAGGTGTTTTATGCACACATTATTGATCTGGCTGATAATGCACACATTATTGAAGTTAAGCAGCATCCATGAAAATAAAATGAGACTTTTCTATTGGATGGGATAGAAATGCAACGAATGAATGAATGAGAAATATGAAATCATCAAGGAGTCCCAGACAGAGGGGAATAAAAGAGGAAGACCAAAGAGACAAGGAGAAGGAAATAGAGATGCAGAAAGGTGTACAGGCTTTCAGGTCAATGGGTGAAACTGAACTCACAGATCCAGAAGGTGACAACATTTCAAGAACTGAAGTCTTCTGAATTCTTTTTAATTTTTCACTGAAAAGGCTACAGTTATGAGCGCCTGGATGGATCTATCCGAAGTGAAGAAAGGCACCTTGCCATTAAGAAGTTTGATCAGCAGCCCATTTTCGCTTTCCTCCTGAGCACCAGGGCAGGTGAGGCAAAGGTTATGAAAAAGTCCATGTAGCTGAGAGGTGCTGCTTCACAGGTCATGAATGTTCTGTTCTGCGTTCATAGATGATGGGTAAAGACTTGAACCAAGTGCAGTTTGGAGATCATGGAGAAAGTTTGTATAAACTCAAGTTTAGACAAACTGGAATGCGAATTTGAGAATTTTAAATCAGGAAAGATGAGAGATGCTTGCAAAGGATGTGAATGCCCACAGATGAAGCAGATGAAGATAACGGCATTCTGTTCATCTGTGATTTAACTCATAGCAGCTCTGAGGTACACTATGTTGAATATTCTGGCTGCTGTCACCTTAAAAACTGGCAATGGGCTTAGTGGGCGAATGTTAATCTTCTCAGCTTCTCCTTCTTTGTCTACCACTGAGAGACCCCATCCTTTTCAAACAGAAAAATTGTCTTCTTAAACAGAAGAGAAGGCAGAGCCAGAGCCAACTCTGTCTCCTGTTTTAAGATCTTATTTTCAAAGGATGTCTTATTTCCTTCCAATTGATTGAAGTCAGTTTCTAAATAACAATCTTTAGGGCTGAAGGCAGGGAATGTAGCTCAAGAAAACCAGCAAAATGAAATACAATATAAATGCCATTTTATACCGAGAGAGACATTGTAGAGTAGTAGAGAGAATATAGGGCTTGGATCAGAGAGATCCAGTTCTATTCTCCTGGACATTATCTTAAAGAATTGTTATGAAGGAGGACAAAAATGATCTGTCTGTTCTGAAATAATCAAATAATATAATACCACCTACCAGGCAAAAGATTTTCATGCTGTGCAGGATAGCTCTCAGTACTATTACACTGTATAAAGATGTATGGGGATGTTTTAAGGGTTGGGGAACTTTTAAGATTATATTCTATTTTAATGAATATTAATTAAAAATAAATTATTTGTAACTATAATTTAATTTGTTACCTGCCGTGAATCTTTAGAATTCTGAGTATCTAATTTAATGAAATGAACAAATTTGATATTCTTTTATAATTAAAATAAATCATGTGTTTTATTTTAAGTGATACTGAAGTTATACCAACTTTTAATGGAACACTCCTTTATTTTCAAGGTGGAGTTGGGATAAATCTAACTGCAGCAGACACCGTAGTTTTTGTTGACAGTGACTTTAACCCACAAAATGACTTGCAAGCAGCAGCAAGAGCCCACAGGATTGGGCAAAAGAAGTAAGGACAGACATATACAAATGTGTGTGCTCTCTCTTCTCTCCTTATATTTATGAATGTATTCCATAAATCTTGCTTCAGACCTCCCCAACACACCTACAGTCAGGACTAGGGACATCTCATTTTAATTGTCATTTTAATTGTTAACAACATCTACTTTTTTATCTGGCCAGGGTGACTTCTTTTCTTTTCTTTTATAACTTTTCTTTTATAACTTCTTTTATATCGTTTATATTTTTTATTTATTTTATATTATTAATTTTAATTTTATATTGTTATTTTGTATTGTATTTTATTGTGTTGTAAGCCACCCCGAGGCTTCGGCAAGGGGCGGCATAGAAATGTTCTAATGATAATAATAATCTCAGGCACTGGTGGAATCCAAGGTATCAGAAGATCCGGTGGCTGTGAAAATTGCTGTAGGTCAGAACACAGCAGGCCTGGAGCTAGTACCCAGGAACTGTTGTGGCCCCTGCAGCTGCTGCCAGAACCTGGAAGGCACTGAGCTGCATCTCAGACCGGGGCTTCCAGAAGCCAGCCTCTGGTGCGCTCCCACCTGTGCCAAGTGGTTCAGAATGCCTCGCAGATGAAAAGTCAAACTTTTCCAAAGTCAGAGTCTTCAGTGGCGTGCTGCAGGACCTGCTATGCATCAACATTCTTACCAGAGACTTAGATGAAGGCAAGGAGGAATACCTAGCAAATCTGTAAGTGACACCCAACTAGGAGCAATGGACAGAAATAAAATTCATATTGACTTCAGTAGATTGGGACTGAGGCTATCACAAGCTCAGCACTGAAGCAGCTGTGCATTGTGGCTGCAAAATGGATGAATGTCATTTTAGGCTTTATTTAGAGAACTCTGGTTTCCAAGTCATGCACTGTACCAGATCTAATTTACTATGCTCTGGCCAGACTTCATCTGGAGTACTGTGTCCATTCATGGATGCTGCAGTTGAAGAAGGATCCACTAGCCTTCCCCAGCCTGATGCCTTCCAGATATATTGGACAAATCCTAGTATTCTTAACTATCAGCCATGCTGGCAGGTATTTGATGCAAGATGAAGTCTAAAACATCTGGAGGATAGCATATTAGGGAATGCCCATTTAGACTTATTGGAACAAATTTAGAGGAGGACAACAAAGATAGTCAGGGATATGCAGAACAAGTCTATTAAGGCTGAAGGAATTGTATATGCTTAGCCTAAAGAAAGCTGAGTTTGAGGAATCCCTTCAAATACCTGAAGAGAATAAAGCCCCCTTCTCTAGTGCTCAAAGGCCGGACTAGATCTAATGAGCTTATGTTATAGGAAGATAGCTGTTCTTTAAATATTAGGAGAAGTACTGCTGCATCATAAAAAATAAGAAACCAGCTTGCACTCACCAAGCCCAAGTTAGTCTGTTAATTTGAGGATCATATTGTTAAGTCTAGCTAAAGACTCATCTGGCCACCAGCCTGATTTGACTACCTTCTGTCTTGACCCTTTCACCTCCCCTGCTCCATTGCTTGTGTCAGGACCAGGCTGCAGAGCCAAACCTGACAGCGCCCTGGCAGAGGTTGTGGTGCAATACCTGTGTACCCTGGGATCTCACTGTGGCTTCACTGTGCTAGCACTAGAAGGTGTTATGTTATGTTATGTTATGTTATGTTGGCCCAAAGAGTGAGCAAGTTGTGTGCGCTACGTATAAATTCTCCTTACCTCTCATTCCAGAAGGAGAAAGTGGTCTTACGATTGGACTTTCTACTAAAAGTCTCTACTGCCTTTCACTTAAATCAAGAAATTCTAGCTTTCTAGCTTTCTTTCCAACCCCACCCACGGACATTGAAAGAGCACGGCATATGCTCCTGTGTGGAGAGTGTTAGCATTCTGCTAGTCCTGCATGGAATCGATCCCTCATACTAAAAGACTATTTATTAAATACACTGGCCATTCCAGAGGTGAGCTGATTGGTCCACAGCCGTTACTTGCTCTACACCATAGACTTAGGTTCACCACTACCTAATCGATGTGAAAGTGAGGCAAGACTGCTCCTTCAGTCATGCTGCATCCTTTGGTGATGGCACCTCCCCTTTCCTTTCTTTGGCAAGCTTGCTAGGCACCCATATGTATGTTGCACAGAGATCACGAAGAAAGTAAGATCGCTCACCCATAACTGTCGTTCTTTGAGTGGTCAGCTGTGTATTCACACAACTCACCTGCTCATCAGTGTCAGTGGTTTTTTCCTTACCTGCCCTCCTTTAGCAGTAGGGATTAGGGAGGGCAAATCTTGGTCTCCAGTTGGATTAAGAAACAATAGTTAGAAGTAGGCAACCTTACTTTATACCACTCAAGGGATGAAGGAACAGTATGTTGTAGGAGTGTGTGACAATATGGAAAGTGGAGGGGAGGGGGAAAAACAAAGAAAAATGGAAGGCACACGTGATCTTGAAGTCTGATGTATAAAAGATTGCAAGCTGATCATTAAGCTCTCCCCTTCAATTGCTTTGATTTGTATGTCCCCGCAACTCAAAATGGTAGGCATGTCATGAGCGAAGCCAGCTGGAGCCGGAGGTCAGAATAGATGGCCTGGGAGGCCTCTTCTGACTCACTCAGTTTCTATGTTACTAAATTGGCTTTGCCAGGGTTATGTTCAGAGGTGATAATGAAAGACCTCAGTTGATGTTATGGCATGCAAGTGTTTGCATGACTACAGAATTCTTCATCTGACAGTTCCAAAATTTTTGTATAACTCAGTACATTGCATACCTGTACACCATCAGGAGCTGTTTCTGTCAAGTAAAGAGATTTTATTCTCAGAAAGCTTTGACCAAGCGACTTACCTAGCTACCTGCACTGGTCAAATTTGAACTGTTGAAATCTTAACTGCATACTATTTTATGCCTTCATGGTTTTTAAATGTGCCAGGGAGGAATCCTATGTGTGTTTAGACAGGAAAAATCTGTAACTCACAGCCAACATATGTTCTTAATCTTTTGGATTGGCTTTTACATATGATCAGCTTTTCCTTCATATATTTGTGTGTTTTGTATGTGTTTGAGGTTTCTGTGGAACTGTTTACTCACATGACAGAAGAATGGCAGAAAGGTGGGATAAAATGTAATCAAACTGTTACAAGCTGTTATACAATCCAACAAGGTATAATAAGTATTACTCTCATGCATTCTTGGGCTGAGCAAGGCAGAAACTCTCCCACTAGGTTAAGGTGTCAGAACAAGATTGACTGTAGAAGGGAGGCAGTAGCTTCTGGGAGCTTCCTTCCAGCCCCAGGTCTTCAGGCTAGTACTTTGGAGAGACTGAAGTTACTGTAGATATGGCAGTGGTTCCTATTACTGCTGGGCAGAAAGAGCACCATGATGCATCCTGCAAGGTAAGGCAGCACTGAGCTGATGCTTGTGGCTACAGATTTGCATCCTGTTGGACTCCAGATCAGGTGAAGAACCTGCAGCCCTGCAAATGTTGTTATGCTGTAACTCTCATCATTCCTGGCCATACTGGCTGGGGATGATGGGAGCTGGTGTTCAACATCATCTGGAGTGTCCCAGGTACCCATCCCATTTCAATCTAGATAAGAGGCTTGCAAGCCCAGAGATTGTGCAAGAGCCGGACCTGAGAGGTTGCAGTCATATTTCCAGATATGTACTAATGTGCTCATCACAAACTTCTCTGTATAAAGAGTGCGAGGATGCTGTCTTTGATCATGGCAGTCTCCAGAAGTGCAGGAGTTTGAGCATCTTCCCTGAACATGAGGAGACCTTACTAGTGTGAATAGCAGGCTTTTGGGATGCTATTGCTGTTCCTGAAGGACATAAAAATCCTTGTTGCCCTTGCTTTTGGTTCTCAGTAAGAATTATGTAGACTAGTCTTGTCTTAGCTAATGCAAGCCATTGTGTTAAACACAGTTTTTATTCTCCTCTTAAAGGCCTGTAAAAATTATTCGCCTGATTGGGAGAGACACTGTAGAAGAAATAATCTATCGACGAGCAGCATCGAAGCTCCAGCTAGCCAGCACTGTTATTGAAGGGGGACATTTTTCTCTTGGAGCCCAGAAATCTCAGGAAGCAGCAGGTATCCAGGTAAAATAGAGAATAATGTATCCCAGCAATCTAAACTGCTGTGTAAACCCAGGCCCATCTGTATTAAAAAGCTGTGGAAGCAGCAGAGAGCTAGTGTGGGCTATAAATGCAAGAGGCAGAACCTGTGGCTTCTGCAAAGAAGTTTTTAAAGACTTCCTAGAAAGGTTCAACCCCTTCTGTGTGACGAGTCTTTCATGGGTCAAATCCATATACCTTAGCTCACACTCCTTTGGATTTGAGACAGCAGCACAGGAACTCTGAAGTTACAGATGAAAGTTTAGTTTTTCTGTGAAATATTTACAGGAAAAACTCAAGCCCCAAGGAAACAAATGTATAGGAAGTGTGATCCCTGTGTTATGGCCACCTGAATTCCTTCTGCTTTTAAAAGTTTAACTGAGTTCATAAGGAAATAGAGCCCTATGTTTGGGAAACAGGCCTCCTCTAGTGACTTGCTGTTGTAGAAGTGAAGATCCAGTTCCAGGTAAAGGAGCAAGGCAAAAGCTATCAGAGCTTATTTGTCTTCTTACACTGTCAGCTGCTTTCAGTCTGGCTACAAAGACTGTTTTACTACTGTCACACAGTGCTATATCCTGAATGTGTTGTTTCACAGACATGTAGTGCAGATGCATAGTGAGAACTTCCTGGTTGGGTGTTCCTGTAGCAGCACTGGGAAAGGTGAGGGTGAGCTCATATAACCTTATTGTTTTCCAATTTTTGAAAGCTGAATGAAATCCTGAAGTTTGGTTTGGACAAACTGCTGTCATTAGATGGAAACAGCATCTGTGATGTGGAACTGGATAATATCCTTGGGGAGACAAGAGAAGGAAGATGGTTAATGGATCCTGTGCTACCTCTCACAGAGGAAAGTGAGGAGCAAAATGTAGAAAGTACGTGAATAGATACAAACTTAGATATCCCCTCCCCCCTACCGCATACAAACAGGAACAGAATTTATCTCACTTTGGGAATTCTGAATTCTAATTCTACTCACTTGTTCACCCTTCCTGCTTTTTCAGTCCTCTTGTGATCAGCCTTCTTGCAAAGAAGGGTCCTGCTGCTTCTCACAGTGTCTCATGCAGTGCTTTCTTTGCAAAACTCCAGACAATTGACTTGATGAGCATCTTCTTCCCCAGAGCTTGGCTTCCCTGCTTAATAGCTTATTTGGCACCAGTAATATTTATTTTATTAAAACATTTCTATGCCGCCCCTTGCTGAAGCCTCGGGGTGGCTTACAACACAATAAAATACAATAAAATACAAAAATAACAATATGAAATTAAAATTAACAATATAAAATAAATAAAAAATATAGTAAACGATTGAGCAAATGAATGAGTCTGATGTGCTTTCTGGTGTACATTACTTTACACCAGGCTTAGGATAATTCATGGCTATTTATTTATTTATTATTTATTAAAACATTTTTATGCCGCCCCATTCGCCGAAGCCTTGGGGCGGCTTACAACAATTGATCACAATAGCTAAATATTTCTCAGTATATCTCTGAATACCAAAGGGTGATGATGGTAAACCAACTACCTGGGAGGGCTACTACTTTCATCCCCTGCTTGTGATTTCTCCAGAGGTATCTGACACCCCCCCCCCACTATTGGAAACAGGATGCTGGGTTAGATGGATCTGTAGCCTAATCCAGCAGTTGGTTTTATATCTATCTCTGAAATTTATTTTTCTGAATTTGGGATGGTGTGTATTACTGAGACTCTGAGCCAAATTAGACACCTATAAAGGAAGAAACAGGAGCCTACTTTTTACAACAAATGTAGAGCTGAATCATTTTCCTCCCCCTGCCCCAAACACCACCCCGTTTTCCATGCATAAAGCTCTCCTCTCCCCAACCCAAGTCTTTTCACATATCAGACTTGGGTTGGGAAAAAAGCACCTGAAGTGACAGAGTGGAATGAAAGTTCAACTAGACATACATCCTTCATTTACCTAGACAGGAGTTAACAAACATGGGTGGTTGTCCCTGTTGCATGTGATTTGAAACTCAGAATTTAGTATTTGTCATGGAAGAAAATAGGGTTTGGAGGAAATCTCGGTTCTTGGTATTCTGGATATTGGAATCTTACTCTGGATTTGCATAACTCTGACAGCTTGGTTTATCCAGTCGGATGGAAGATGGCCTCATCTTTACAAGCCTGCTCACACAGGGAAGGAAGCTGTTGTTTATCAGGGTGGATAAAGTGCTTTTGGATTCTGAATGACAAAGTATTAGAAAACTTTGTCTTCTTTGTTGGTGGATGAAATACGTCATATTGCCATGGACCCCTTTTCAAGAATTGCCAGTTTGTTTGAGCTTTACTTGTTAAATTTTATTCCACCTTTCTACCAAACTGTGCTCAATTCGGCTACAGTTAGTTTCCTTTGTAAATATAACTGTTGTTAGCTTAAACAGAGAGAATAAAAATATTTTTGTTTGCACTACATTCATTTTATCACTTGTTCCTTCATCCTGCTATTGATTTTCGCTTACTGTTAAAACCAATACATGGGGAATAAAATAAATGGCTGGGTTGCCTAACAAGGCATAGCATGCTAAATAAAGGGAAAGGCATGAAAGGGCAGCTCTTTAAAAGAAGCCTAAACTTGATCTTAAAGCAAAATGTTCTATGAAGTCCATGGTTCACTTTGAAATGGTTGTTTTTTTAAGGCCACATGTATGTATATGAAGGCAAAGACTACTCCAAGGAACCTAGCTCTGAAGACTTGAAGACCTTTGATCAGCTGCTGAGTCTTCAGAAATCTCTCTTCGAAGACATACATCAAGAAGGAAGAGCTCTCCGAAATAAAGCAAATGTAAGGATAGGTAAAATGTGATATTTTGACACCTTGGGTGCTTTGCTTGTTTATAACCAGATTCCTGAAAACTGATCATGGAAGGACATAACACCAATTAGAGATGGAAAAGTGAGCTTTAATCCATGAATTCCATTGCTCCTTCAGGTTCTTCTCACAGACATTCACATGGGACCCATTAAAAAAAGACGCAAACTTTGCCCAGAAGAAGTGGAGGCCCGTCGAGAAAAGCTACAGAAGGCAGCAGCAAAGAGGGCCAGGATCAAGGAGGAAAAGAGGAAGAAGGCAGCAGAAGCTGAGCATCAGAAAAGGTAAAACTATCTCTGCATGAATCTCATAAGCAGTACCTTTCTCAACGTTATCTGCTGTTGCAGCAATGCCCCATTTGGATTAAGGATTTGTATCTGGTACTCTGGCTTTCAAAATCTCTACCGAACTTAGACTGCTTCCACACTAAGTTGGGGGAGGGTTCACCCGCCTTTGCTTCTCTGCTGTTGCTGTAAACGGGATTAAAGCCATTATTCCACATCACATTTCCTGCCATGGTATAGTCCCCAGACCTTTTCTCACAGCGAAGGAAAAGAGCTGAAAGTAATGCAAGCTGCTGAAGCTTAATGAGGAAATGGATGATCTAATCTCTGTTTGCCTCTGCTCTAGTGCACCAACATGCTTCCTTTTTAATCCAGCAAGAGGGTAGGGTATTGCCATGTAGATTCATGGGGTGAAGTGATGGGTGCCACCTGAGGAAGCTACTTTGAGGATGAGCGAGTTTAATTAGGGTTTGTCTTTTTGCTGGTTTGCTCCATTTATAGATCTGAACTGGCAGTAGGGATTCAAACTGTTTTGTAAACCTTGGAAAGTTGGTGCTAGTTAGAATCCTAGAATCACAGAATAGCAGTTGGAAAGGGCCATGAAGGTCATCCAGTCCAAACCGCTGCTCTGGCAGTTACCCCATCCCACTTAGATGGCTGTCCGGTTTCTTTTTGAATGTCTCTAGTGTGGGAGAGCCCACCACCTCTCTGGGCAGCTGGTTCCACTGCTGTATTGCTCTGACAGTGAGGAAGCTTTTCCTGATATCTAGCCTGAATCTGGGTTGTCACAGCTTGAATCGATTATTCCGTGTCTTACACGCTGGCATCAGCAAGAAGAGATCTTGACCTTCCTTTTTGTGACAGCCTTTGAGGTACTTATAGAGGGACAGAAGGATATCATGTCCCCCCCCCCCCAGTCTTCTCACGGCTGAACATGCCCAGGTCTTCTTTGTGGTTTCTGTGCAATCACTCCTATGGGCTTGCCGCAGAGTGCGAGGCCTTGATCAGATTAAATTTCCAAAGCTCGGCGTCATGGAATGAGCAGGAGCCTGGCCCTCCCCTTGCTTTATGGTCTGGTAAAACCTACTGCCTCCAGAAGACCTAGCCCTGCTGTGTCGGGGGCTCTACTGGCTTTATATCATCAACAGATTGTTTCTCATTCAGAAGGCTTAAGCTGAATTGATATTTGCATTGGTTCTTTCAGGATGACCTTGTGGAAAGCGAATCACTACAGGTCTTGCTGTCTCGAGTCAGAAGAGAGCAGTGAGGAGGAGGAGGAAGAGAGGCTGGATATGGATTTGGAGTATACAGATCCAGAAGTGAGCTCCATCAAGTACATTATGGGTGATGTTACTCATCCTACAGCAAGAGAAGAGGATGCAATCATTGTGCATTGTGTAGGTAGGTGAAATAAACTTTGCTACAATAAGTGTTGTTCTTGTGCACTTGATTAGATGGATTTCTGAGCAGTCACATTTAGGTAGCATTCCTCTCTTGCTTATGAGTTGAGATGAAGCATGTATTCTTCTTCATGGTCTTTGTGCATCACACATATATGGGCTTTACAGCACAAGCCTGAATCGGAGAAACTTCCATAGCTCAGTGTCAGTGGGAGCTCAGTGGGAGCCCCATCCTGCCCCTTCTGGGGGTCTGGATGAAAAAGGAGGCTCCTGCCCAGTCCCCCAGTTCCTTTTGACTGCTCCTACATTCACTTTGTTGAATCACACGTTCCACTGCTCCTTCTACTTACCAGCTCACACGTTTTGTTCTCCCTTTCCTATTAAAACAAAAAGAACAAAACCCCTTTCCTTCTGTTTTTCTCTACCACTACCTGTGATGCCTTGCCGCCTTTTGCACTCTCCTTCGCTCTTCCTCTTTTCCTCTGTGTGCTCGCTGTACCGCTGAACATGGCTGGCCCAGCTTTTCCTCTGCTGCATGTTGTGCACTACTCTGCTGCCTGCCATGGACAGCCACTTTCGGGCCTCCTCTGCCTCAGCAAGGGGCACACCATCAAGAGTAGCCCTCACTGCCAAGCATTTCTAAAAGAAAATGCGCAGGCAGCAGGCTAACTGCCTGAGATTCACGCTCTGGCAAAACACAGAGGCAAAGTACTCATTTAGCAACTGCTCCTGTTCCCTTTCATCAGTCACCGAAAGCTCTTCCTCCTTAGTAAGCGGTCCCACCGCCGGTCTCCCCTTCCTCCTGCTATTTGCTATGTTGATAGAAGCCCTTTTTGTTGCTGCTGATATTCTTTGCAAGTCTCAGCTCATAATCCGCCTTAGCCTTGTGAAGAATCCTTCTGCAATGAGCCTCCTCCTCCTGGTATACCCTTTTGTTTACTTGCCCCAGTATCCATTTTCTACAGAGGTTCCTCTTACACCTAGTGCCTCTTAACCACTTCTCATCCATGGGGGCATTCTCCTTCGCCTCCCCACCTTGCTAACTAGGGGTATCATCAAGGCTTGCACCTCCAAGACCTTCCTTTTTAGCACCAATCACCCCTCTTCAACTCCCTTGCCTTCCAGTACCGTCTCCCATGAGACTTTCCCCAGTCTGGTCTTCAATGGACCAAAGTTGGCCCTTGTAAAGTCCCAGCTTCTAATACTTGACCTGCCACTCACCCCCATTCATGGGGACAAGTGGCTGGAGAGCAGCCTTGTGAAAGGGATTTCGGGGTATTTGTCGATAGCAGGTTAAATGTGAGCCAGCTGTGTGACATGGTGGCTAAGAAGGCAAACAACACCCTTGGATATATAGCCAGAAGTGTGGCTTGCAGATTGAGAGAGGTGTTAGTGCCACTTTATAAGACTCTGGTGCACCCACAACTGGAGCATCTAGTTCTGAGCTCCACTCGGTTAAAATCAGTTCAGCACAGGATAACAAGGATGGTAGCTGGATTGCAGGGGATGACATATGAGATTGAGGGAGCTGGGTCTTTTCAGCCTGGAGAGGAGGAGACTCAGAGGCGATCTGATAGTAATACATAAGTATGGAAAGGGGTGTCACATGGTAGAGGGTCATTACCTGTTCTTCCCTGTGGTGGAGGGAAGGATGTGATCCAGAGGGGCAAAGCTCAAGGAACTGGGTCTCAGGTTGGATGTCAGGAAGTACTTCCTGACAGGACCCCTAGGATATGGAATGGGCTTCCACAGGAGGTGGGGTGACCCTGTCAGTGAGGGTGTTTAACAAAATATTGGAAATCACATATTGGTGATTACATGAGCAGAGCTGGATGGAGCCAGGGTTCAGACTAGATGGCCCAGGAAGCCCATTCTGACCCGTTATTTGAAGTTGTATCATTCTGATCCATTATAGCTCTACAAAAGCTACGGAACACCAAAAGGGACAGAATTAATTTGCATGCAAGCTAACGTTGACTGTTTGGATGCTTCATAACTACTACAGATAGCATCCCCCTCCCATACAGTTTTTTAATGAATTAGGGGACTAACATAAGCCTCATGATTCCTATTTGCCTTCAGGAAGAAAACCTGTGAAAAATGAAGCCATATGCTAGCTCTGGTTCCCAACCTATAATTTGTGTGTCTTACACTGTCACAATGAGATAAATTCTCATAAAGACAAGTGTCCTGGAAGTTTTTAGTACGTGTTTCATTAGCTTCATCCAGCACTCAGCCTGCCTTTTTCCCACCAGAATACTCTCCTACTGCACGATGACTGCTGCAAAGCACATTAGTGAGCAACAGAAATCGTTTGAATAGTCCACGTGAAATGCATAGAACTAGTTTGTAGACGCCCTTTTGTTACATAAGACCCAGGTGTCCAAACTGTGCTGGAGAAAGTTAGCTTTTGTATTACATTGTTTCCTTTCCTTTAGGATCTGATTCTCTCTCTGTTCTTCCACACTAAAAAATCCAGTCAAGAAGTCTGTAATGCAAGTCATGCTAATTCCTCTATTTTTATGAAGCTCCATGTCTTTGCATCTGCGGTGCCAATCTTCAGGAAAAAGAAACATCAAGGATTCTGATGATGGATTTCCTATCAAGTCTTGGAAGCTCATCTGTTTGAACTCCTGACTCGTTGACTTTTTCCCTTCAGTTTTCAGTAGAAACCTCTTACACGTAATCTTTTGTTTTAGATGACTCTGGCCATTGGGGAGAAGGAGGCTTATTCACAGCTCTGAGGAATCGTTCTGACCAACCAAAGAAAATATATGAGTTGGCAGGAAAGATGAATGGTAAGCCAGATATGGCCAAAACCTTCCGTAGTTTTAGGGGATTTCTCCCTTTCTTATATTTTATTTTATATTCTTGTTTCAAGGACAGGAAAACCTAGGCCAAGTTCAGGGGTGAGAAAGGAACACACGCTCTGCTCTGGGAGCCAGTGTGGCGTAGTGGTTAAGAGCGTGGGACTGGGACTCAGACAATCTGGGTTCTAGTCCCCACTCGACCATGGAGCCAACTGGATGGCTTTGGGCCAGTCATAGACTCTCAGCCCAACCTACCTCACAGGGTTGTTGTTGTGGGGATAAGATGGAGGAGGAGAATGATGTAAGCTGCCTTGAGCCCTTTGTAGGAAAAGGCAGGATATAAATAAAAAAATAAATAAAATAAAAATAAATAAATTCTTGATATTATTATCATCATTATTATTATTTCCTTTGTCTGCTGTTTTGCTGACTCTGTTCCCTATTTGACAGAGATCTCTTATGCTAAATATAATGTGAAAGAACAAATAAAGTTTGTTTCTTCCCTTGCTCTGTTTCCTTTTCCCCCCTCCCTCCCTCCTTCCTTCTGCAGACCTGACATTGGGAGGAACTCTTTTATTCCCCATTGATGATAAAGAATCAAGAAACAAAGGGCAGGACTTGGTAACTATACAAAAAGCTGGTTTTCTCGTCTTTCATTTGAGTCATTCCCAATTTTATTCCTTGTAGGTACAAGCCAGATATTATATGCAGCTAAACAAAGAATATGCTAGAAATGTTTCTACAGTTACAGAATTTAAAATTTACCAAGGTATGTTCTTGGAAGCTGTTTTGGAAGCTCAGAACCTCCAAAAGCTCTGGCAAGATGCTTTTTTAAAAAAATAAGTTTTATTTGAGAATTTATAATCCTAAAAAAACAAAAAGAAAACTAGAAACAACATCCATCATCAAAAACATCGAGCCCACTGGGTCAGCCCCCACACCCTTCTTTTTCCATTTATGATAACTTAAAAACATATTTAAATCTATGTGAAGTCCTGTTTCTGTAGTCAATAATAAAAAGATTCCCAAGTTTGATAGAAGTCAGTATCTTCCTTCTTCTTCTATGATAAAATCAATCTATCCATTTCTGCACCATCCAGGATCTTTTTTAGAATCAGTTCATCGGTGGGTAATTCTTCACTTTTCCAGTGTTGAGCAGTGATTACATGTAAAATCAAATATATTTCTTATTTACTAATGTCCTCCAGTATAATGCCTAATAAAAAAACCTTCAGGTTTAAAAACTAAGGATTTTTGTAACATTTCCTCGAGCCATTTATGTATTTTCACATTATCGCAAGCCCACCACATATAATAAAAAGTACCCAATTTATGTTTACATATCCAACATCCATTTGACATATTTGGAAACACCTTAGCTAATCTATTTGGTGACAGATACCATCTATAAAACATTTTATACAAGTTTTCTTTATACGAAGTTGCTAATGTTACCTTGATATTTCTCTCCCACAGCTTTTACCACTTTTCTAATTCAATATTATATCTAAGATTTTGTGCTCATGTTAACATAGTTTCCTTAACCTGTTCATCTTCCATTTTCCTATCAAGAAAGAAGTCATATAATCTTTTAACCATTTTCTCATCTGATTTAAGCATCACTTGGTCAAACACTGTTAAGTCCTTATAAAACCCCCACGCTTTACAATCCTTAGCATATCTCGATTGTATCTGCACCTTATGCCACCAAGAGATATCAACTCCCTGTTCTTGTGTTTCTTAATTCAATTTCAGTCCTCCATCTTTATCCAAATGTCATCATATCTTACAATCCCTTCAAAATTCAATGCATTTGGATACACAAAAGCTTCCATGGGTGAAAGCCATCTTAGTAATTTATTATACAGTTTTATCTTTAACTTTTCCCACACCGACATTAATGATTTTCTAATATAGTGACTTAAAAAAGAACCATGTGACTTAACCTTCTCATACCACACATAAGTGTGCCAACCCATTTGCAAATCATTCCCTTTAAAATACAAAATTCTCTTATTTCTTCTTTACACCTCTACCTCTTCTCTTTTCCTTTGTTTTCAGTATCTGTACGTCTTGTTGTGAGTCAGTATCCATTTCCAGTGTCTGTACTTCTTGTTGTAAGTCAGTATTCACTATTTCTCCTTCCTCAGAATGATATGTTGTTAGTTCCATTGGTTCGGCACCTTTCCCTCCTTCTTTTGAGGCACCCGCTTCTTCCTCTTCAAGCATACATCTAAATTTTTCATAAAACTCTTGTGCCTTAAAAATCAAGTCCAGTTTGTATCTTGTAAAGTCCAGGTGAAAAATATTCCTTCTGGCGTTAACCACCTAAACATAATCTGTCTCAAATAATTAGATACCTTCTCCATCTCTAGTATAACAAGCGAAAAGAGCTATTTTGTCTTTAAATGAGTCACAAAAGGAACGAGCTTTTGTTATTCCTGGCACAAGAATTGTTTACAAGAAGGGCTCCAAAAAATGGCTGTTCAGCAATTAAGCTTAGTCCTTCTATCACTTATTCCACAGTAATTATTTATTCTGCTTCTTCGCCCTTTGGGAGGTTAAACAAAGGAGGCCTTTCTCTCCAGCCACAAACTTTCCAAAAAAAACCCTCAATTCCTCTCCCCCAGATCAATCGCCACTTAAAACTCCGTGGGGGGAACATCAAAGGGGCTTTCCTTTCTTCTTTATGCCAATTAGTAACTGCTGCAGCTCTTTCACGGGTAATATTGAAGAAAAAAAATAGAAATGCTCACCCAGCAGGTCTGATGAACTTCTAGCTATTATTCTATGCTATTATCCAGTCGTCTATGGCTTGCAGGGAGCTGATCTCTCCCCTGTGTTTTTCGATTTAGAAAAGCCCGAATTTCTCCCAGTAAATGCGGAGCCACCACCCCACACCAACCAGAAGAATGCTTGGACAATCTAATCTTTGCCCCGACAGGGCTTGGATGAGCCTCCCACGGCTCTCTGATGAACAGATTCCAGTGTGATAACGGGAACCCCCGCTCTTCACAGCCGTCTCACCACAACACCAACTGGAAGTCCTCCCAAGACTCTTAAAGGATCCATTTTAGGATCTATTTATGTTTTTAAGCAACATTTAGACAAGGGGATGATAGGATAATACAATAAAAGCCTCAGTATTGGGATTTCTTCTAACTGAATTCAGAGGCACCTTGGTACTTACAAAATGTGTGTATGGTGGTGGGGTGTGTGTGTGTGTGTGTGTTCTGTTTCACTGAGCTAGGCAATTAGTCTTACATTGCCAGATTCACTCACATGTATAATTTCTTCTAGTTGGCCCTTGTTGTAGCACAGCACCGAGACAGCTCCAACACATTGTCTGAAATTAAGCTCCCTGCTTTGGAAAGGGGTTTAAAGAAAATCTATTTGGCAGCCAAGAAAAGGGATGGTAAGTTTGCCTGTTGAAATGAGAGACGCTGAAATGGAAGAAACAGGGTGCTTCTCAGTTTGCAGAGGAAACTCCTGATTGGACTGAAACTCTTTGCTGAGCTATTCCAGCTAGAGTATATTGCACCCTAGTACAGCCTCCCCCTAGTACAATGCACAAAGTGAGCTATATAATAGTCTTCTCCATTTTTGTCCAACATCCGGAAGGCACAACACTGGGGACTCCTGCTCTGGCATTCCTACGACTGCAGGACAATCCTGTGAGAAGGTTCCTCGTCAGCAACAGTTGTAACACTGATGGATAAAATAATCTCTTCCCATCAGAAGCTTCCCCTACTTTCAGCAGTTCCCCCGTGCCTTTTCTCCATACGCTTGGTAGGCTCTAAACCAGGGGTCCCCAAACTTTTTAAATGGGGGGCCAGTTCACTTGGTGTTGAGTTCACCATCTCTAGAGCATAAAGTTGTTGTAAGCCGCCCCGAGGCTTTGGCAAATGGGGCGGCATAAAAATGTTTTAATTAATTAATTAATTAATAAAGTGAAAATCAAAAGGTTGCAGATAATATCCTCAAGTTGTTTGTGGGGTGAAATAGTACACAAATCTAGGCTTTGTACTAAATTGGTTGGAGTTTCATGCCTTTTCATGAAGAAACGGCAAGAACTGTACTCTTAGGAGGAGGTAGGAGATCTCACAAGCATTTGTAAAGCTCAGAATAGACAGTAAATCTTGGGCAGAAGCTATAAAGAGGTTTGAAATACAGACCTGCCCTAAGTTCCTGGTCAGGCTTAAATTGGTTTGAAGGTCCCAGTAGTACTGAGTCTACCTACTGAACTATTCTCACAAGATACAAGCAAAGGTCTGAGCTGCTCTTAGCACAGAACAGCGTTCCCTTTCCATTGTTGTATATTTCATCTGAACTGCAGCTCTTTCTCTCCCTTAGCCAGCGTCCACTTACCTCGCATTGGATATTCATCAAGAGGCTTTAACTGGTATGGAACAGAGCGTCTTATCCGGAAATACTTGGCAACAAGAGGAATCCCCACATTTGTGTATCCTTATGATTTTGTATTTGTGTATTTTCCTGTACTTAAAACAGAGTACCATATCTGTAAAAGCCAAATACAGAGACTGGAAATCCACTGCGTATATTCCACACAGTGAATTAAGGCCTTTCAAAATTTGTGAATTAGGGCTTTTCAAACTATTAATCATGAATAATCAGTTTTATGTTTTCTTCATCAAAACATTTCCCCAAGAATTTTAAGAGTTCAAAAAAAAAAAAAAAAAAAAACTTCAGAGTTGAGAGCAATGGATTCCATAGATGCCCAGAAAACATTTTTCTAGCTGATGCAGGAAATCCAAATTATCTCCCTACCCCTATCTACTTAAGGGAGGGGGGGAGTTGTCATTCGGGGCAAACTGTGCTGAGATTTTTTTCAAGGTTCTGAGAGGAGGGCCTTTGTAAGACTATGTCACAACAGTCATGGCAGCTCTGTTTTATTATATTTTGATAAGAAAATGAGGTTAAAATGTCCTTGATGAAGGGATAATGTAGATATTTGGGGGGGGGTAGGTATTCAAGAGGGAGTGGGCAGCAGAGTAATAAATTAAATTATTAAGTGACAATGGCTTCTCTCCACTTCTCCCTTTTTTACATTGTAATGAAACTAAATTGAACTGGCTGCTGTGTGCTTTCAAATTGGAGCCATGAAAGCTTCTGTGCTGATGTATTATTTCCAGGATTACTTTGGGGAGAAAAAAGATGGCTGCCTCGGTGGAGAAGGGGATTGCTTCCCCATCTCACCCAGACACATCACTTGATTTTTGTCTTCCTCTGACATTCTCTTCCCTCAGCTTTGGGGTAGGGGAGTACTATCCATTCTTAATATTTCTCAAAAGGTACCATTGAGATCAATGAATACAAACTCATGGTAATAAAGTAGATCAGATTAAACCCGTGTAAGTGATTCCGTGATGAACACTGTATGCTGAAGGAGTATTTTAACTTCAGATTTAAAGCAGCTAATTGTAGTTATTTTTGACAACTCCTTAACTTTTCTCTTTAGATATTACTTTCCTAGAACTAAAATATCTGCTTCTTCACAAGCATCCACAACGTCAACACCAGCCTTTCAACCTTCAGCAGTTGTGCAGAAGTAATTCCTTGCAGCGCATGAACCATTTTCCTGCTGTATGTTCAGCTGCTTAGCATTCATGTGGATCTCTTGAATTGTTTTTAGAAAACACTCACAACTGTATAGATCAGACTATTTCTATATAAGGGGGATGAATTGTGCTGTATCAGGATTATCCAACGTTCAACCATACGTTCACTTTTTTAGAACAAACCACAATTTGATATGGCATGTAAGCCTTCCTCACATGGCTTGAGCATTGGGCTTGGACAAGACCGGCTGGCTGTGAGCACAGCTAGAACCATGCAACACCAAAGCAGCAGCATTATTCTTTGAGTCTGTAGAATTATTCACTTAGTATTCCTTAATTGTTTAAGTACACATTTCAGATAATTGTTTGAGGCAAAGGGTGCCTATGTAAATTAAATAGTACAACAATTCTTTCTCTAAATTATGAATATTTGTAGTAAAACCACTGAATTAGCTGATCATTTGCAGAAATAGGTTGCACCTCTTGAAAACAAAAGGGCTATTTGTGGTTGGCGGGATGGGCATGTTTTCTAACTGGCTCCCATTGACCAATTAAAATGCTGCAAACCACACTGTCAAATTGTGTGAAGAGCAATCAAGAAAACTAGATTCTTTGTGCAATCTAATAAATCCACGTGATGGTAAATTATAATCTTCAGGGCAGAATCCAGCATGTGGTCACAGGAACACAAAGACTGGCCATAAAGGATTCAGAAATTTGTTGGATTATGGTAGTCCTATTCTCAGTGGCAATACAATCCTCAGTCCATTTACAGAATAGGCTGTCTGCCTTAGGAATGAATGCAGTGCCTTGCTTGCTGGCACACTCCCCTGCAGTGCTATAATTTCTACTGCCTCTGCTAGGAGTGCAATGGGCTTCAACAGCCTTCCTGGTAGATAGACATGCCTCCACCCACCACCACATTCATGGTGGTGCCAACAGCTGGAGCATTTCAAATTTCTTCCTTTCTCTGGAGATGGACGAGCATAAGGCAGACTCCCCAGCCCGTTCTGAGGGTGGACACAACAAATCCCACCTAGCCAGTCCTCAGAAATCTGTGCTCACTGTCATTGACACCAGTGTTACAGGTGCAGTTTCACCCCTGCCACACTGACTGGTTGCTTCTCTTTCTGCCTCAGCAAGGGAGCCAGCAGAGGTTGTAAAGGTGAATGACAGATGCCAGTCTGAAGGGGGAACTGTCAGGAACTGACAGCAAGGAGCCTTTGCACCACAGAGGAAGCCTCCCAGTTGGCTCAAAGCTCCTGGGTTTTCCATAGCTACCTTCCTACCCAATGAGTGCTGCAATTCAGGCATAGAAACTCCTACCAAAGACTTTGAGGTGGGGAGGGGAGGAAGCAGCCATCCAGGAGCATTGTACAAACAAGTTTCCTCAAGGTGGGTCTCCGTCTCCAACAACAGACCACAGTTGCAGCATCTTCATCACTTACACCTTCTAGCTTAACCATGGAGTAGGAAAGTGGAGGCAAAGGCACATAAGTGTTATTCTTCGTGGTCTCCTTGCATCACACATATGGACTCTTCACACATGCATGGAATGGGTTTTTGGGAAGATTCCAAAGCTGATTAATTAGTATTTGGCAGGACCCCGGCCCACTATGCAGCTAGTGTGAGGGCGGGGCTCCGGCCAATATCTCAGTTATTCTTTGACCATCATTGTGAGCACATCGGGAAGTTCTGCTTACCTCTCAGATTATTCGTCTCAGATGACTCCTATCTGGTCAGGTTTCTCTCCTCCTCGTTTCTTCCTTTACTGCTTCAAGCAAGCAAGCAAGCAAGCAAAGAGGTTTTAAAATTTTTTTGTGACAACGGGAGCAGTGGTATACCTCTGAGGCCCTATTCATTGCACCTCGTCAAGGAGAAAACATGGCACCCAAGCCCCTGTTTCACAATTGTACTGCATGTGGCAGCAAACTCCCTCCTACAGGTGACCATTCCCTTTGCCTTTTTTGTTTGGGAGAATCTCATGTTGTCGACTCTTGCTATCATTGCCAAGATTTTATGAAGCAGGCAAGAAAACACCGAGCTGATCATTTGAAAGCTGAGCTTTGGAGCCACACCTTACACACGGAAGATGCAAAGCCATCCACCTTGCCCCCCCCCCCAACTCCAGCAGTAAATGAAATGCTGGCTCCTCCGCCGGCAAAAATTCCTAAGGTGACAAAGCAGAAAAAGACAGAAAAGGCAAAACCACCAAAATCACTCACCCTTAATAGAAGGGGAGTGCTAAGAAGCACGTCGGTGTCAGAGGAAGAGATTGGTGAACACTTCCTGGCTCAGCTTTCTAAATCAGATTGTCCCTCGGTACAGGAACGTGTCTCTTGCTCCCCTTTGGTTCCGAGTGTTTTTCTCCAGTCTGAGCAGCAAAGGAGTAGACAATGCTCTTGATCCCCTTTGGGTGAGACCTCTCATAAAAGACACCAAACCCCCTTAAGACATCAGGGGGATTTCAACACTGATTATTACGTGGAACGTTGGGAATCCGTTGATTCTAGACAAGAAGGGTCGCATTGGAGCCCTTCAGGTTCGGAGCACAACCCTCTCCCGGATCCTAGCCTTTGCATCCCATTGGACAAACCTGCTTGAGATCCTGCTCAGATAATTTGAATCTCGGATAGACGACCCCGTCCTTTCTACCCAGCCAACGTATGGACAGAAAGGAACACCACTCAGAGCGAGGACAATATACTTCAATCTCAATAGCGTCCTCTCCAGAACATCACTGACATGCTGCTCGGTGTCCCTGCAACATCACTTGATTTTTCTTGGGTACTGGAGGACTCCAGACTCTTCCCTATCAAGTCCTCTGTAGGACGCATAGTCTAGGACTTAATCCTAGACCCAGCCTTCGAAGCCGTTTACACAGAGTCAGCAGGCCCAGTTAGCATCCCGCTGTTATCAACCCTACTCGACGCAATATACCACGAGTGGAAATCCCCCAGCATCAGTAGCTCTTCCACCTCACCAGCTTGAAAATATGTATCAAGTCCAGGAAAGGGACCCCAAGTTTCTATTTCAGCACCCTAGACCAAATTCCATTATTGTCGAGTCTGCTCAATCACACTCCAAAAGAGAACATGCCACTCCATCAGACAAAGAGGGCAGGCGCCTTGACACTATCGGTTGCCGCTTTTCCTCATCTGTAGCTCTCTCCATAAAAATGGCTAACTGCCAAGCCACCACGGCTGGCTATCACCTCATGCTTTGGGACAGGATTGCATCCCTATGCTCCTCGCTAACTAAGGCTGCTCAGGATTTGGCAAACAAAATTAAAAAGGAGGCTACTCACCTGGCCAGGCAGGAGATCCTCACAGCTCGACACCAGGCAGAGGGCAACACGCGTAACATGGCCAGAGCGATAGGTCTCCACCCCTTCGCATGGCTTCAGCCTTTGGGACTATCTGGCGAAGCAAGGCAAGAATCAAGGATATGCCAATTGTTGGTGCTGGACTATTCCATGAGACCACAGATGATCTTATGGACTCAGTCCAGAAGGCCAGTGTCGTGCCTGATGTCTTGACAGAGATGTCACCTCACGAGAAAGAGTCAAATGTTCAAAATGAGAACCAGACATTAGAGCAGGGTGACTTCTGCTTGGAGTCCAGTAGCCAAACGCCCCCCCCCCCCACCCAGCCTGTCTTGGGAACTACTGAACAAACAGCTCCCCCACATACTGACCCTTTGCTCCCTGTACAAACAGCCCTGTCTCAGCCTAGTCATGAGGCTTCTGAGTGGGAGACTTCTCCCCATTCTGAATCTGAGAAGCGTGAGCCAGGTAACCCCCCACACTCTGATGCTGCGGCTCCTGGACAGGCTCCAGAAGATACAGAAGGTGAACTGTCCTTAGTCCACGGTAGTCGTAGACGTAGCTTCCGACTATTGGAACAAAAGAAGACAAGACAAAGCTTCGTCCCCCGCAAGAGCGGAAAGACGGGAGAGGAAAAGCTAATCCCACGGGGTCTCCCTGGAGGCATCACAAAGAGAGGGGTAACTGACTGGTTTAGACCATTTATTATTTATTTATTTATTTATTTATTTATTTATTTATTTATTAAAACATTTCTATGCCGCCCCTTGCGGAAGCCTCAGGGCTGCTCACAACACAAAATAAAATACAATAAAATACAAAAATAACAATATAAAATTAACAATATAAAAGAAGTCGCCCTGGCCAGATAAACAAGCAAATATTGTTAACAATTAAAATGACGCTTAAATAAAAAGGTCTTCGCCTGGCACCGAAAAACAAATAACGACGGCGCCAGGCGGACCTCTCTGGGGAGCGCATTCCATAGATTGGGTGCCACCGCAGAGAAAGCCCTCCTCCGAGTACCTACCTTCCTAATTTCTTTGCAGCAGAGCCTATCTGTAGTATCGTAAATCTTGTAGGAAGTAGCAATAAAAGACTTTAGTTTTATTGCCAGCTGCAGTGTGAGTTAATCCACCCCCCCCCGGGTGAGTTACGACGCCCTCACGACAGCCAGGAATACTGCATGCCGCATGGGGCTTAATCAGGTACCACCCCAAAGGCCATATGCTTCCCGTAAGTGGCACAGATCCTCCTCCACATGCCAGTCAAGGCGCCCTACCAGCACTACTACAAGACATGGGACTGCCACGCAGCCTAGACACCAGGATCCCCTAGCATGTCCCGGAGGCATCAAAATGATTCCAGGAGACATCTCTGACTCCTTTGTCTCTCATTTCCTCCCTTTTCTTCAATCATCGCCTCCAGCTCTTTTTCCACTCCTGGGCTGCCATCACCTTGGATTCATGGGTGCTATCCATCATTGCCCCCAGGTACCATATCAAGTTTCGTACTCTCCCTCATTTCACATCACTGAAATGAACTGCTCCATCACCTCCCCTCCTAGAGGTGATTTCTTCCTTATTTCATAAGGGAGCTATTAACAATGTGCATGGCTTCCTGAAGGCCAGAAGAAAATGGAGAACCAAAAAGCTTTAAGGGTCTGACCAGACTGAGTATTTTTCTCAGCAACACTGAAAGGCTGGGAGTGGTTGGAGAAAGGAACATAACAGATAAGATAAGCCTGCCCTGTACCATCCAGAGAGACAATGGAATGTGACAAGTGTGTGTGTTCAAGATAAGGGCCAGCACATTCTGCATGCCAGCTCTGCTCAGAGGAGTTCACTGCTCGATCCAGTTGGATGAAGCTGATAGCGTCAACTTTAAGGTATAAAATGCCCGGGCTTTCCAGCTCCCGTGTGTGCCAGAACAGCGCTGCAACTGGTCACCCACAGTCCCGATGGATCATCTCAGCATCCAGGGCAAGGGCAGCTGAGTAACAGGGTAAAGGCACCGGGACCCAGGCAGACAGGGCATGGCAAGAGCAAGTCCAGTACACAGTCCAAGGTCAAGCCGGAGGTCGATATACTAGGCAAGTCTAGAGAGATGGGTAGCGTAGTCCAAAGCAAGCCAAGGGTTGGAGAACCGAGGAAGGCAGACCAGTCAGGGAGGGAAGAGGGGCAGGCAGGACACAGGAATGCAGGCAGGACGCAGGCATGGAGTTCCAGGTCTAACAGACCAGGAAGGGCTTCGC